GTCCTTACCCAGAGCTAGTTGGCTGCCTCATGTACCTGATGACTTGCACTCGTCCTGACCTCGCGTACCCTCTTGGTCTTCTGGTTGGCTCACTACGTGGCTCCTGGTCGGCACTGACCTGAGCACATGGCTGCCGCTAAGAGGGTACTGCGCTACTTGTGCAGCACATCAGGCATGGGGCTAGTGCTTGGAGGGAAGAGCCCAGTTGTCCTCACTGGGCACTCAGACGCTTCTTGGGTTGACGACCAGACTACTCAGCGGTCGTCACAGGGTTACACCTTCAGCCTTGGCTCTGGTTCAGTTTCTTGGCGTTCTACTCGCTCGTCTTCAGTTCTCAGCTCTAGTTGTGAGGCTGAGATCTACGCCACAGCCATGGCTGCTCAGGAGTTACGCTGGCTCACCTACCTGCTGACCGACCTGGGAGAGCGGCCTCGTTCTCCTCCAGTTCTGTACGTCGACAACAAGGCTGCCATTGCCTTGTGTGAGGAGCACAGACTGGAGCACAGAACGAAGCACATCGCTCTGCGTTACTTCCTGGCTCGAGAGTTGCAGAAGCGTGGTCAGCTTCGCCTGCGTTACGTGGCCACTCGGGCCAACACTGCTGATATATTCACCAAGGCACTTTCGTCTGGTGATCATCAGCGTTTCTGCACTATGCCCACCTTTCCTCACTTACTGTAGGCTTTGCTTGTACTGTGATCTATATATATACCTGCTTGCTTGCATTGCTAGGTAGAGATCACTGTGCTGCTTGTGTTGCATATATGCCTCTGCATGTGAACTGGCCTAGTGGCCCTTTGCTTGTGCTCAGAGTGTGTGGTGATGTTGTGATCCACCCTGAGCTTGCTTTGCCTTTCTTGACTGGTCTTGTGACCCCTTGTTCTCCCCCACTTTGCCTATGGGGGTGTGTCAAATGTTATATCTGCTACAGTTTGTTTAGGCTGTAGTGGGGTAGTTACTATGGGGTACAGTAAGTTTAGGGTTTCCTACTTGTACCCAACCCTTTCCTAGTTCAATCACTCTTGTTCATTCTGACATGACGAACTACGCGAGCGATCGACAACGAACTCTGCGGGCGATCGATGTCGAACTCTGCGAACAGGTCGACGCCGAACTCTGCGGACAGGTCGACGCCGAACTCTGCGGGTTGTCGACGGCGACTTCTGTGGTCAATTTGCGTCAATTTTTGTGCGCCCCCTGCTGCGATGTCGGCTTCGCCTAAGCGAGGGCGGGGCCACTTCTTGTCGACAAGTTTAACTTAGGCCATCCCTTACGGCTCGCGCTAGTATCGCAGCAGCTGCGCCCGAGCGCCATATGCTCCCTAGCCCTCGTGCCACTCTCGCCCTCGCACCAGCCCGCGCCCTACCTAAGCGCCGCCTCAATAGCACCATTGAGCTGCCGTGCCCGCGCCCTAAACCCGCCAGGACGACGCTCGCTCGTTCCACGATTTATCGCCAGACGCAGCCATATCGACCATGGCGGCGCTCGTGCCAGCCACGTTGTGGCCGCTATTTCCCCCCTTTTACCCCATACCTTCCCGCGCACCACTACCGCCACTCCCAGCGTGCTAGCCACCGCGCCACTCCTCCCCGACCACGCGCGAGCCCGCACCAACATCGCACTGCCCGCGCCAGCTCGCACCTGCCTGCATGCCCGTTAGGAATTATATTTCTATATGTAATTGCATAGTAGTCTAGCTAGTGTAGTATCACATTAAACTTCTAATGTTGGTGGTATGCCCCTCTTCCCCACCTTCCCTTGCACCTATATCTTGTATCATTGTTGTTAGTGAAAACCCTCTTCTCTCTGAAAGCCATCTCGCCACGCACGCTACTCTAGCCATGGCTCCTAAGCCCAAGGCTCCTATTTTGACATGTTATCAGAGCTCGTAGTTCCTACGGCCTAAGTTTCAACGTTTTTTTCTCAATGGCGCCCCTGTTATTGGGCATGCAGCTAATGGCGCACGAGCGTCTTTGCTGGTGTGCGAGGGCTGCAACAACTGCGTATTCTGCTGGCGTGCGAGCCTGGCGCAACGTTCGTCGCAGTCAGCCCATCGCCCCGCTCGTCACCTGTTCCCGTCGCCTGCCGCCCCGCCCCTCTGCCGCCCTGTCGTATTGCGCTAGCACCTGCACTGATCGCGAGCGCCAATGACCAGCACCAACGCGAGAGCCAAAGCCAAGGCCAGCCGCGAGCGCCAGCGCCACCCGCGAGCACCAGCGCGGACGCCTGCGCCAGCAGCAACGTACCCCCCCCCCCCCCCACCCCCACCCCACCCCCCCCTCCCACCCTTTCGCGGCTTCTGCCGTGGGGGGGGGGGGGGGGGGGGGGGGAGGGAGGGAGATGAGGGGGTGGCAAGAGTGACCAGCAATCTGTCACGGGCTTCCTTTCCTCCTTTTCCTCTCCCTGCAGGGCTTTTCGCTGTTGGGAAGGGAGGGGAGAGAGGTTGAAGGGGTGGTGAGAGGCAGAGAGAGATTATCCTCTATTCTGGTTTCTCGTACCTTAACGTTTCCTCGTTTTGTTTCTCGTTCAGTTTCTATCCAGGCGTGGTCACCCCTCTTCGGGCACACCGGGCATCCACTGCTGGGGTTAAGCCGCAGGCGGGCATCCTACCGTCGGAGAGAACCACGGTGGGTCCAGCTGCGACACGGTTACTGCTCAACTTCGGGTTGAGCGCCCCTAACTAGCTTTGTCATGTATGCCATTAAGGGGGGATGTTAGAAATTATATTTCTATATGTTACAGCACATTAGACTAGCTAGTGTAGCATCACATTAAAACTTCTAATGTTGGTGGTATACCCCTCTTGGCCACCTTTCCTTGCACCTATATCTTGTATCATTGTTGTTAGTGAAAACCCTCTTCTCTCTCAAAGCCATCTCGCCACTCACGCTACTCTAGCCATGGCTCCTAAGCCCAAGGCTCCTATTTTGACAATGCCCTACTGCTGGTCTGTTAAGATAGTAGATTAAACTTAGGCGTCATGGCTAGGGTTTGACCAAAGCGAGAGTAGCGAGAGAGACTTGGACCAACAAAAGAGGTTGTTCACTATAGAGCAAACAGTACAAATAGGCAAGCAAAAGCAAGAATGGTGCACCACCAACTAGAAAGGCTATAACTACAGTACCAAATCCTACAGGCTGTTACATATAGAAAATATAACTAATATTTTCGGACATGGTCTTCTCCTCCTTCCGTTGTCGTTTCCTCTCACTGCTGAAGATGTGCCCCTGCTTCTTGTTATTATGGTGATTGAGATCGTCTTGCTTTATTGTAGAGGGCCATGCAATTATACTTCATTTTGTGGTTGCTCAATGTCAAGCTTCACCTGCGGAGCCAGATTCAATATGAATTTTCCAAGTATGGCCATACTTTGATTGAGCTCCGAGCCCTAACGCGTCATTCCGATTGTGTTGTTGACGCCACGCCTGTGAAGGAGGAATAATCACGCGACTCGATTGAAGCGCAGGTACTGGGGGGCACACGAGAGTGATGTGCACCTTGCAACGGTCCACCTCCTGCAGGCAAAAAAGGAGCACTTTCGCCTGGTGGAGTCGGCGAAGGAGCGTTTTGATGCTGTTATCGTTCGCTACTTCACCCCCTCATTTGTTTGTCTGGGCCACATCCTTTTGCCTCTCCTATTTCCAGATCTCTCTATGTTCTCTATCGATAGTGATCTTGTTACCTACTTGCGCTCACTTGACGCTAGCTACCACGGCATGCACTTATGTAGAACAGATAACGTTGAATTTTGTTGATGGTATGATACGTACACATATGCTCGTAAGGTTGGTCATACCGTACAATTTTTGTTGGACGTGACAATATCTAATGTAATCTTAATTCCATCTGATAAGGAATTCCATATTTAAGTGGACCCCCGAGCAGCTTCAATTGGGATTTATTATATGTGTGTGGATATAGTTCTATACATATATATAATCATGAATGATAAGCCTGATGCAGAAAATGATGTACACTGTGCTGTTATGATAGCGTTGTGGATTCTGGGATGTATAATACGAGGTCCAAGACCCACCCATACCTGATATGCGGCTCGACAAAACAAGAGATCGTGGTTCGGTTTTGCAGCTGCGGTTCCAGCCGCGTCCGGGTTCCCCCCATCCCAGCCAAGGGCCCAAGCGAAGGCATTTTTGCAGGTCTCGAGATTTGGTGAATGCGGCCCGGAGCATCGTTTGCAGTTGCGCCTCTGAGGTCCGTTGACCAATCGGAGCACTTTGTCCAGCCCCACTTTCCCCGAATTCGCCCCTGTATATGTCGCACAATCTTGCCAAATCGCATGCGCCCGCTAATTGGAAGCAAGGTCTCGAAGTTGCATCGTCGTGCGTCGCATCCCCAGCTACAGTTCCTTGCCAAACCGTCGTTCAGTTTTTTCATGGTGAATTTTCCCTCACGTAGTGTGGTTCAACTTCCGCCAACCAAAATCGTCCGGGGCAGACGACAGCATGCGATGCGTTTGCCGGCTGATTATAGACATAATGAACGATGACTGCGAGCTATGCGAGCCAACCAACCACCCCGTCCCTGCCATCCGATCACCATCCCCCTCCCATGTGATCGCATGCAGATCTAAACGCTCGCCAGAAGAGTCTGCGACAAAGGCAAATCTCGGAATCGAAATTTACATTCCCGCCAACCAGCCCTCGATTTCTTCAAAGAAACCCCAAGGTCAATCCGCGCCGCAATTCGCCCTTCGAAACTTGGAAATGTCATTCCGTCCATGCTTCTGCTCTTGTAGCTCACTGATCAGTGTGTCAGGAACTCGGCAATAATTGTTCTGGTCGTGATAGCCTAGGAAGCCCTGGTTATGAGAGGAAGGTACTAGGGATAGCTCGTCAAGCTGTACTCCGCTTGCGGAAGCACGTCCACTAGACATAGAGCGGCATGGCACCGTAGTACACGTGGCGAATTTTCATCGCGTTGACTGAAGGAACCGAGGGGACACGTGAAATTAGCTAGTGTTTTTGGAATGGTTCAGCCCAATGTCTCCGCTGCAGCTGCCGCAGCTGTCAGGAGTTTCGTCAGGGAAATCTAATCGAACGCCGCCTCAAGAGGACGCCGAAAACAAGGAAGCAATTGCGACCGTCGGTCGTCCTGACGAGCCGTCGCATTCCGATCTGCTCACGAAGCGAAAGCGAGTCAACCCCCAGCCCGACACCGCTACCTGCGCGCAAACTAGTAACTACCACAGCACGCCGCCGTCCTTTCGTTATGACGAACCCAGATGCATTAGCGGATCTGCCCTTAGTGAAGCGCCAAAGTGTTTCAATGAACCGTCTGACGCGCCGACTGACGCTAACGTGCTGACCAGCCGCGGACAACCGAGTTCTACCAGCAGCAATGTCGCAGACTCCACCTCTTATCTACCTGCGCATCAGGAAAACGCTGGAGTGCTGGCGCCCACAAAAACGTGTCTGGCTGCAGAAGGAGAAGACCTTTCAAAAGCTTTTGCTCGTCCCGGCTTATCGAAGGGCGGAAGCGACATGGCTCCCGCGTCCTGCTGCGGAGAGGAAATAACAGGCGCAAGCAGAGCCGCGGAAGCGGCACGAATGGCTGCGGAGGTCGCAGCGGGAATGGCGGCAGGAGAAGCAGCAGGAACGCCCGACGCGGTTGGCGCGTCCACCCCGCCGCGTGAGGCCAACCCGTCCAGTCCGCCGTATGCGATCCGCGCGAGCCTCTCCGCGCCCCCGCGCGTAACGAGCAAGAAGCCGCCCGACAGCATGCCACTGCTGCGCCTACCGCCGGGCCTGTCGCCGTCCGCTTGGCCGCAAGGCGCTGCGGCGAAACGGCAGCTTGGGCGAGATGACACGAGGCGAGATGACAAGGGAGATGACACGCGGCGAGATGACACGGGAGGTGACGCGAGGCTGGATTTGAGTGTGCAGGGACTGAGTTTTCAACAGGGAGGGGGATCGGACGGCTCAGATGGTCCATGCTGGAAGAAGCGCGCTGTCGGGGGTGTTTCGCCAGGCGTACCCGCTGTAGCATTGTCACGGGAAATGTCGTCCTCAGGTGCACCGTTCTCAGGTGCACCGTCCTCAGGTGCACCGCCCTCGGATGCACCGTCCTCGGGTGCACCATCCTCGTTATTATCTGTTCCGACTCCAACAGCCGTCGCGTCTACTTATGTCGCCTCCCCATCCTCTTCCTCCGCTTCACCTCTCCGCCTTCCCTCTCCGCTCCGCCTCCCCTCCCCCCTCCACCTTAACTCCCCTCTGCGCTTCTCCCGCAGGTCTTCCCAGGCCCTTGTGCCGGTTTCTGGCGGTCACGTCCTACCTATCCCCCCAGGAACTCCAAATAACGGAGCGCTACCTTTCCTCTCACAACCGACAAACTCCCCGCTTGGGTTGTCGCTTCCCCCCTCCAGCACCTCCCCCAGCCCTCACGCTGCGCGGGCGCACGGTCCGCTTCCGCCGTTATCCCTTCCGCCCCCCGCTGCCCAGCTCCCCGCGCAACCTTCCCCCGCGCCGACCCCCGACGGCGGGTGGCAGGGGACAGTTGGCGCAAGTCCGCGCAACCCTCCGCACCAGGGGGGACCGCAAGAGCCTTCCAATTCCCCACACTACCGCGGGGTGCGGTTGCGCCCATGGGGGAAATGGGCGGCGGAGATCCGCGATACCGCCAACAGCGCGCGCCTGTGGCTGGGCACGTTTCCCACGGCGGAAACGGCGGCGCTGGCGTATGACGTGGCAGCCATGGCGATTCGGGGAAACAATGCGAAGCTTAACATGGAGCAGCACCGAGAGTTGGCGAGTGAAGTTCGCGATCTGGTGAGAACGCTGAAAGCGGCGGCAAAGGCGGCGCAGGATGCGGCGGCGGCGCGCGCGTATGCGGAAGCGATGGCGGATGCCGGCAGCGAGGGGAAGCAGCCAGGGTTGAACGGCGAGAGTCGAGCTGAGAACGACGAGGCACTGAGTGGACGTCTGAAAGAGGGAGGCGGAAACGAGAAGGCGGCGGGTCTGGAAGGCGCGAGAGTTGCGCCTGTGGCTGCGGCAGGCGAAATAGGCGGAACCAGCTCCGCGCAGGGAAAAGAGCAGATCATGGAACCGGGAAACGGGCAGGAAAACGGGCAGGCGAACGGGCAGGAGAACGGGCAGGCAAACGGGCAACTCCCAATGCTGCGACAGGCCCCGCCACAGACGCCGCTTCTCCACGTGGTCATGGGGAAGGTGGTTACCACTATGGTGGATAAGTATGGCGGGGGGATGGGGAATTGGGCCAGGGCCGCTTGCGCTGATCGGGGCGCGCTGGGGAGCGGGGGAAGCGGGGGAGGCGGAGGAAGCAGCGGGGGAGGTGGGGTAAGTGGAGCTCTTGAGGGTATCGGGGCAAAGGGGGGAGTTGGGGGAGTTGGGGCGAATGGGGGAAATTGGAGGAACGGGGAGACAAAAATGGGTGCATTGGGAGGGGGTGCTGTGGGTGCAGATAAAGGAGGGGTTGGAAAGAACGCGGGGGAGCAGGTGGACAGGAAAGAGTTGGCTGCATCCCCCTTACAAGCTCTCTCGATAAACCAGGGAGTCTCGCCCATGCAATGCCAGGCCGGTTTCATAGGAAGCAACGCGTCCCCTGTACAACCCCGTGTGAAGGTCGAGCACGTTCCTGCTTTTACCGAGTCAGCTTATAAAGGTTCGGTGTTGCAAACTGGGAGGGATACCACTGTCCCTGTACCACCAAGGGACACCTGGACAGTATCGCCACAGGAGCTGGGGGGTAATTCCCCAAATATTGGTGCTTTCGGGGGTATAAATAGCACCATTACCAGAGCAGTAACTGCTGGGGAGTTCGTGAGTGCAGCAACTGCGCTTGCTGGTAACCCTGTAACCAGTTCGTGTGTGGTTGCACCCAGCGTCATATCTCCGCCTGTAGCTGTACCGAGTGTGCTTACAGCGGAGATGGCAGGAACGCACTCAGAGCTGCCCGCACCTCCTAATACTGCGTTTAAGGGGGAGGCCTGTAGAGGGGACGGGGGAAGCAGCAGCAGCAGTAGCAGCAGCGGCGGCAGAAGCAGCAGACAGAGTGGGGGGACGGAGATGGGGGATGGCATGGGGGGACGCATAGGAGGTATAGATGGCATGGGCATGGGGGGAGGGGCAGGTGAAGCAGAGAGGATGGAAGTGGAGGGAAGGACACATGAAGCAGGGCGAAGCTTTGAAGGAGTGCTTGGTACGGTGCAATGTGCGTTTGAGCATCTTACTCCTGAGTCGCCCCACTGTATGCAGCAGGGCGGTGGGGGGAACTCTGGGGTGTTATATGGCACGGAGCGAACGACAACACCTGGCATGGTATCAGGATCACATGGCGTGGATAATGTGCCACGTGGCACAGGATCTGCGTCGCATGGCATGGATCAAACGCCACGTGGCCTTGAACAGGCGCCTGTTTGCCTGTGCCATAACACCCATGTGAACACGCATGCACCCACCCATGCATTTGATGGCGCTAGCTCTCAGCCTCACTTCCAGTCACACACTCAGCCACACACTCAGCCACACACTCAGCCACACACTCAGCCACACACTCAGCCACACACTCAGCCACACACTCAGCCACACACTCAGCCACACACTCAGCCACACACTCAGCCACACACTCAGCCACACACTCAGCCACACACTCAGCCACACACTCAGCCACACACTCAGCCACCAATGCTGCAACCCTGTCACACTCACGATTATCCTAGCCTTGATAATTATCGCACCCAGTCGCTGGTCATGCCCCCTGTAACACCAACGCAAGCGCCCATGCAACCCCCAGCAGTAATGCAGGCGCTCTTGCTGTCTCCCCCTGCCGGTTCTGTTTCAGGTGGTAGTTCAGGTGTTCCTCCAGGTGCGGCTTCTGGTGTCCCTTCAGGTGTTGCCGATAATTCTCCTTCGGATGTCCCTTCAGGTGGTGATTCAGGTGGGTTTTCAGAAGCCCAACCCCTTGCCAAACGACCGGGATGGCAGTACACAGAATCGCACCAGGAAACAGAGAATGCAGCAGAGGAGGTCGGCAGAATAAAGGAAGAAAATGTTACCAATACTGCTGGAGGAGAGGGAGGAGGAGGAGGAGTTGGAGGAGGAGGAGGAGGAGGAGGAGGAGGAGGAGGAGGAGGAGGAGGAGGAGGAGGAGGAGGAGGAGGAGGAGGAGGAGGAGGAGCGGGGATAATTGGGCTCTCCCAGGGTACCAGCCTCGGCGATCCCAGGTTCGGGGCCGAAAATCACAGGCTCGGGATTGAGGACCTCAGGTTCGGGATCCTTCCAAACCAGGAAGTTGATGGGGAGGACGAGCCGTGCCTGCTGCCCATGCCTGATGGTCAGGAATGGGAAAGGTTTGGCTCAGACCTGCCATACCCGGCCGAGCAGGCATTTTCTGGGTGGCAGTTAGTGAGTGACTCAGTAACGGAGACAGGCACTGAAACCACAGGAGCCGTGCCTGCAGTAACAGCTGTTACTGATACAGGCGCCACTGTAACGAATACAGGTGGCGCTGTGACGGATTGTGACGGCCTGAGCAGTGACTTTAAAGGGCTGACCTGTTCCGGGCAGAGGAGAGGAGGAAGGGTTACCCAGAGTGGAACCACGCTAACCCTTGAGACGCCTGAGAGGACTCTGTCCTGTTCTGCTAGGAGCGAAGGGGTGAGAGGAAATAGCTTCTCAGCGTCAGCAAATTTTGCAACTCAGACACAAGAGGCGCTAGGGAAGCCTCTGACGGGCTGTGGGAGGGAGGGAGTGAGTGGAGGGGTGAGAGCGGCAGGAATCAGGACTGCCCACTTCCGCCCTAACGCTGCGATTGTGGAGGCCTTCAGGAACGGTGAGGGGCGGTTGGATGGGGTGGGAGCTTCTATGCTTGAGGCGCCTCATGGTTTGGCTTACATCCAGCAAGTTGGGGTGCAGCACGGTGGGGTGCAGCATGGTGGGGTACAGCAGGGATTGGTGCAGCATGGTGCGGTGCAGCAAGGTGCAGTGCAGCAAGGTGCGGTGCAGCAAGGCGCGGTGCAGCAAGGTGGGATGCAGCAAGGTGGGGTGCAGCAAGGTGGAGTTCAGCAAGGTGGGATGCAGCAAGGTGGGGTGCAGCACAGTGGGGTGGAGCACGGTGGGGGGCTAATTGAACTGCAGCAAGGTGGGGTGCAGCAAGGTGGGGTGCAGCACAGTGGGCTGGAGCATGGTGGGGTACTAGGTGTGGTGCCGCACAGTGGGGTGCAGCAGGGTGCGGTGCAGCACAGTGGGGTGGAGCAAGGTGGGGTGCAGCATAGTCGTGTGCATCTGACGTACTCGCAGCAAGAAGCGGGCCAGGGGCAGCAGCAGCAGTGGCAGCAACAACAGGACCAGCAGCAGCAGCAGCAGTATCAGCAGCAGTATCAACAGGAGTATCATCAGCAATATCATCATCAACAGCAGCAGTATCAGCAGCAGCAGCAGCAGCAGCAGCAGCAGCAGCAGCAGCAGCAGCAGTTTCAGCAGCAGCAGCAGCAGCAGCAGCAACAGAATCACCCTGACCAGCAGCAAGAACAAAAGAGCCAATCCCAGGAACAGCAGCAGCAGCAGCAGCAGCAGCAGCAGTATCAGCAGCAAAAGCAACAGCAACAGCACTATCAGCAGCAGCAGCAGCAGCAATATCAGCAGTACCAGCTGCAGCAGAATCAGGAGCAGTATCAGCAGCAGCAGCAACAACAGAATAACCAGTGGCATAGTCACCATAAGCAGCAACAACAGAGCCAATCCCAACAGCAACAGCAACAGCAACAGCAGCAGCAGCAGCAACAGCAACAACAGCCCAATCCACACTCAGCAACAAGCAGAAGGGAAGCAAGAGCAGCAGGAGAATGCAAGTGTGCAGCAGCCACAGTGCCAGTGCTGCCAACCTATGTACCCGCATGCACGAAATGAACCACATAAGCAACAACAACAGCAGCAGCAGCAGCAGCAGCAGCAGCAGCAAAGGCAGCAGGAGCAGCAACAGCAGCAGAGCCAGCAGCAGCAAATCCAGCACCAGCAGAGCAAGAGGCAGTATCAGCAGAACCAGCAGCAGCAATGCCAGTATCAGCCTCAGAGCCAGCAGCAGCAGCAGCAGCAGCAGCAAGCAGAACCAGCAGCAAAGCCAGCAGCAGCAGAACCAGCAGCAGCAGCAAACCCAGCAGCAGCAGAGGCAGTATCAGCAAAACCAGCAGCAGCAGCAGCAGCAGCAGCAGCAGCAGCAGCAACACCAGCAGCGGTGGCAACAGCAGCATAATCCGCAGCAACAATACCAGCAGTATCAGCCGCAGCAAGAACAGGGCCAACAGCAGCAGGCACAACAGCAGCTGCAGAAGCAGCAGCAGCAACAGCAGGGACTACAGCAGCATAATGAACAGCAGGAGCAGTTTCGCCAGCAGCAGCAATACCAGTTGCAGCAGCAGCAGCAGCAAAAATACCAGCTACAGCAGCAGCAGCAGCAACAGCAGGGACAGGGGCAATCACAGGGTTACGGATACCACCAGTCAGGCCATTCTGGCCAATCGCTGCCATGCACCTGTACACCCTCCGAGTGTTCGCATTCAAATCGCACCAGCCATGCCATATCTGGTGCTGCTTCCACACCTGCTACACCTGCTACAGCTGGCGCTGCTGCTACAGCTGCTGTTGCAACTGCTATAGGTGCTGTGGCTCGTGAAACACAAGTTTCAGCAGCCACAGCTACAGCTAGAGCCGGAGGCACGATTGGACCGTCTTCATTGGATAGACAGCAGCAGCAGAGCTTTTTCCCTGCTACCGCTGCTGCTACATCTGCTACAGCCGCTACAACTGCCATAGGGGCAGCTCGTGAAACACAAGTTTCAGCAGCCACAGCTACAACTATAGGCACAGGCATGATTGGACCCTCGTCATTGGATAGCCAGCAGCAGCAGGGTTATTTTCCTCCCACAGGTGCTGCCACATCTTCTAATGCTACTACAGCTGCTGCTACAGCTGCCGCTACAGCTTCGGCAAATGTTCGGGCTGTGGAAAATCAGGGTGCTTCTGCAAATTCTCTTCCTCACTGCTGCTGCTGCTGTAGCGGACTTCCACCGGGAGGGGCAAGTGCTGTTCGTGGGTCATGTGGTGCTGTGCATGAGAGTCATGACGCCTCGCGTCATGATAGTGTGCAAGGCATGCAAGTTGGCATGCTAAACACATATGGAGCCATGCAAAGCACGCATGGTACCATGCAGCAAACGCACGCTACAATGCAACACAGCATGCTGACCCGCCAGTCTTGCCCCATGCCCATGCCCATGCACACACCCATGCCCATGCTTCCAGACACACCAACCTCAGCCGCACGTGCACTTGTAACATCCTCTGCACACATAACAGCATCTCCTCATGCATCACCCCTGCCTCCTCCACCGCACCTTCCCAGCAGCATGCACGTGCATGCACATGTGCATGCGCCTAAAGCACCACATGGTACAGATCCCCATGCACACATAACAGCATCTCCTCATGCATCACCCCATCCTCCCCCATCCCACCTTCCCAGCGCCACACGCAGCAAGAGCCTATCCTCTCTCCCTCCCCACCTCCAGCCACATCCCATTGCCGCCAGAAGCTTTTCCTCTAAGCACGCCCACCCGGATCCTCACCACTCTCGTTACAGTCACAGCAACAGCACCAGAAACTGTGACAGAAACGGGGGGTTCTCTTCTAGCCCTGCCCCGTTTTATGCCCTCAGCAACTATGAAACAGCCTGCCTTGCACCTCCTTCAGGGGACTTGGCTCACAACCCAACCGCTTCCCACCACCAACAGAATGCTCCGCAACCATCTCAACTTCCTAGCACCGCCCTCAACCAAACTGCAGCTGTGTCCCCTGCACCTGTCGCCCAAACTACATTCGCCTCTCCTCCCACACCTGCTTATCTTCCAGGCACCTCCATACACATTCACCCCTCCAACCAATCCTATCTCCCGTCCTACCACACCCAGGAATCATCTGCCCTCGGGCTTTCTGGCCCCGGGTTTTCTGCCCCCGTTTCCCAATCTGCTGCGACCACAGATCCACAGTCGTTTTATCGGAACAGCAACACCACCATTTCACCACAGCCTGTTTATCATCACCCTACCATGAATATCGAGGCGCCTCAGGGGTCTGTTCCTGTTTCCCATCCTCCTGTCAGCATGCCATCCCAGTTCGGTCATAAACACAGCCACACCCCCCTCCCACAGGCTGTTAACAACTTCGTTAACAGCACCAACGACACCAGTAGCACCATTCCCTCGCACCCTGTTGATCAGAGCAACCGCATGTCACCTTATCCACCGCCTATTTATCAAACCACCAACGCCACCATCGCACCTTACCCAGGTGCATCTCACTTGTTCTCCTCCGTTCACCCTTCTCCCCCTCAGCTTGCTGCTCTGCACCCGTCCTCTGCTGCACCACCTGAAATTTCACCTGAATGCTCAACTGCTCCACTTGAAATCCCTCCTGCCCACCTCTCCTATCCGCCTGCCTCACACCATCCCCAACCCCCACACTTCCCCCCCGCTCCTACTCCCACACCTACCCCTGCCCTTTCAGGCCCTCCATTTCCCACCGCACCCCACTCCTTCCAATCCCAATCCTCCCTGTCAGCACCCCCTCGCATCCCTCCCCAGCCTGCTTCCGATCCTTTCTTCTCCCCCTCTCCTTCCACCACTCCCCCATCCTCCTCCTCCCCAATATTTCTAGCCACCGACCCTCAGCAAAAACACACACCTGCCTCCCACTCATCGGCTCGTGTACTCGACTTCAGTGATCCCTCCCCCTCCCCTGCTCATTCCTCTGCTGTATTTGAGAATGAAACTCGTGGCTCTGCTGCTACCAAAGACTCTGGCATTTCCCCTGCAGCTGCATCTGCCTCTGCTCCTGCTCCTGCTCCTGGTGCACAGACCTGGAGCCAGGTAACCCCTGAAAATGGTCATCATCAGTTGGGGCATTTCGGTATATTATCCCCTTCGGCTTCTTCCAGCCCACTGGATTTCTCCCTCTCAGTCAAACCCGATTCCTCTCCTGCTGCCCCGGCAGCACTGGAACAAGCTCCTTCCTTCCCTGTTCAACCCAAATCAGTGGCAGCAGCACCGGCAACGGCACTTGCACACACTCATGCACAATCAGCAGCCCCTTCGGCTGATGCTTCCCTTCATCCCACTCCTCTTTCTGGGAGTGGCTTTGGTCACATGGCCTTACCCAGCCTTCCTCTCTCCCCACCACCTCATCCTTCTGCTAACATTCCCATTGCCCTCAACACTGCTCAGAATCATTCAGGCAGGGCTGAGCTAGAGCCCTGGCAAGGGGAGGCATGGCCTGGGGAGGGCTTATCTAGTGAAGGCTTCTTTATTGAGGAGTTTAATGGGCCAGATAGGTGGGCTGGAGATGGATGGCTGGGAGGAGCCTGGGAAGCTGATTGGACAGGAGAAGGGTCGCAGGGAAGTGGAGGTGGGCAAGGAAGTGGGTCTCATGGTGGGTTAGGACTTGCATAGCGAGTTTGTGAATCTTAGGGCAAGCCCAATATATGGTAAGGTGCTGATGTTTTAGGAATAAGCTTTAGGCATTCCCCTCCCCATGCGCAGGTGAGTAGGTTGCTGTTTTTCCCTAATTATGTAGGATTAAGTAGGGTCTGACTTGGTGTTTTATTGAAAATTTGTGGTTCGCGTTGAATACTTATAAACGCTACAAAAATATTACGCTTCAAAATTCCAGCCCTACTTGCTGTCAGGGCCCCGCCAGCTACCGGTGTTACCATCGCCTCGAGGATGTCGCTGCGCCCTCGCTTCCGTCGCTAGGACCTCGGGATCGTCGCCGGTCCTCTGACTATCTGACAACCACCAATTTGCTTCAGCCGATGCAGGTGTGGATGGGCTTGGGAACAAAATCACCGATCTCATCCCAAGGTTTCAGGTTGTGTTATGTCAAGAGTGAACTTCCTGCATGCCCTACCTGCAGAACGGTTGTATATGGTGAAGTAGCGGTTAGGCGGAGTTGTGAGCGAAAACGAGCCCTCACGGTAACCTCCATAGAAACCCGCATCTGCCAAGTCAGGGTGAATCTGCAGCATACAAGTCACTTGGTCGTCCTTCGACAGGATCTTGCTTTGTTCTTACGAGTTAGGACCAAGGAACGGCTAATTGGAATTTGTGCTCGGAGGGTGGTCGCGTTCGGCGGAGCCGTTTGCAACTAGGACTTTCTAGTCTGCATAGTTCTGACCTTGGCTTAACGGCTGTCAGATCTCGTCAGCATGGCACTGACATTCAGTTTACGTTGTAGGGTGCTTGCTGCTGCTCTCCTGGCGGCTGTCATTGTCGCCGATGCTAGTGCAAGCGACCATAGATATGGCCAAGGGGAAAAGGTGCCCTTTTACGCGAACAAAGTCGGTCCTTTCCACAATCCGAGGTGCGACACTGTATTTCTGAATTTTCGTTCCGTTGACGATTCGGTGAAGGTTTCTTGATGGTTCCGCGACGCTTGCCTACTCTGTCTGGTGGCGTCTGACGCGTTGTTGATTCTCGGAAAAGTTCTTTGCTGTATACGTGTGCTTTGCTGTGCTTCCGTGCAAACTCACTGCGCATGATTTTAGGATGTTTCGCACGTCTATTTTAAATTCGGATTTTCCACTCGGGAAGCTTATCTAGGCGTTTTTCCTGTTTTTCGCAGCGAAACGTACAAGTTCTTCGATCTGCCGTTTTGCCAGCCAGGTCTGTTTCCATTCATAACATCCTGCACAATTTGGTAAAAAAAAATGCTCTTCATATGCTTGCGTCGGTTCCCGTGCAACCACCTGCTCTTGTAACTCCTCTGTTTGAACAACGTTCACGCGTTCGAAGCTATCGCGCATTCGAAACCAGCTTCGCCGTTTCACGCTCATTCTTCTTCTCCTGGATGTTTGTTAAACAGGGAAGATCAACGAGAAGCTTGAAGACCTCGGCGAGGTTCTGAACGGCGATCGCATGGTTCAGGCCCCCTACGAGCTGAACTTCCGCGTAGATCACGAGAGAACCACTCTCTGCAAGCGAACTCTCGCAGTTAAGGACGTCCAGAAGTTCCGCGACGCGGTCATGAACGACTACTATTTCCAGATGTATTACGACGATCTCCCGATCTGGGGTTTCATCGGCAAGGTCGACACGGATCCCAAGAACCAGCACTTTTTCCTCTTCACGCACGTTCACTTTGAAGTAGAGTACAACAACGACCGCGTGGTGGAGATCAGCGTGGCGACTGATGCGGGTACCGCGGTGGACATTACCGAGGATAAGGAGATGGAGGTGGAATTCACGTATTCCGCCAAGTGGAAGCAGACGGACAAGTCGTTTGACAAGCGCATGGACAAGTACTCGCGCTACTCGTTCCTCCCGCAGCATCTGGAGATCCACTGGTTCTCCATCATCAACTCGTGTGTCACGGTGCTGCTGCTTACTGGATTCCTGGCGACCATTCTCATGCGTGTTCTCAAGAACGACTTTATCAAGTACGTTAACACGATTTCATCAGGTACGAAATGCGATTTGTCAGCGGGTATCAAACCCGATCTTATCAGTTACGAAAGACGATTTCTTCCGGTGCGAAACACGAAAATACCACGTAAGTCGAACGCTGAGATTCTAGGCATTCAGAAGAAAAACGATCTCACTGAGTGCTGCGGTTCGGCGGTCCAAAAAATGCGTACAACTGAACCAATGTAGTCGGCTGGCGGCTAGAGCTTTCTCGAAATTGCGCTTTCCCGTTTGACTCGAGCGCTGCATTTGTTAGATTAGGGGTACAATACAGAAATGCTGATTTGCCTTTAAATGGTCGGTGTACGGGACCAAGAGGGGTTTGCTGCAGCGTGTCTTACAGAAGTTACCTGCTTTTTCTTTGCCCGATCCAGGTACTCGCGTGACGAGGAGTCGTCAGAAGAGCAGGAGGAGACGGGGTGGAAGTATATCCATGGTGACGTCTTCCGCTTTCCCAAGAACAAGGACTTCTTCTGCGCCGTTCTTGGCAGCGGCACTCAATTGCTCTTCCTGTGAGCTTGGTTGCCTCCCCCTTTTTGTTTCCACTCGCGTGCTTTCTTTATGATCTTCTCGGTTGGGTATGTTATGAGTGCATCACTACAGCTTGCACTGTCTGTTGCTCATCAGAGTATTCAGTCGCTGCTTTCGTTTTTTTTGGTTCCATATCCGGATCTGTTCCCGTTTGTTTGCGCCGTTTCCCCAGGGTCATTTTTATCTTCATCCTCGCACTTGTGGGGGTGTTTTATCCCTACAATCGCGGTGCTCTGTGGACGGCGCTGGTGGTGATCTATGCGCTGACTTCTGGAATTGCTGGGTACACGGCTGCTTCTTTCTACAAGCAGATGGAGGGCACCAACTGGGTGAGTGCAATGCATTTCTTGAACCGACCAGGGATACAGACAAAAGGAACCAAAGATGGCTGTAATGATTTGGTATCAAACCTTGGTGCTTCAAACAGGCAGGATAAGGTATTAGTTGAACGCCCGTTGGCTGGAACAACCAAGAAGGGGGTTCAGGGACATGCGAGTAAGTGTTCTCTATACGTTGCAGAGATTGCCCTGCACCGAAGCCTGATTCTACTGCTCCACCATGCGCTTTTATGGTCATCATTTCACTCTACGTTACAAGTCCGCGAGGGCGGATCAAACTCCTTCAGTGTTTTCCCCTCCATTCCAGTCATTTTCATCCTCTCATCCTGTTCCTCACCCTTCATCCTCCTCTTCCCCCTCTCTCCTCCTCTTCCCCCCATCTGTCCTCCCCCCTTCTCTCCCGCCCTCCTCTCTTTCCCCCACCCGATCACCGGCAGGTGCGCAACATTCTGTTGACGGGGTGCATGTTCTGCGGGCCGGTGTTCATCTCCTTCTGCTTCCTCAACACCGTCGCCATCGTCTACAACTCCACCAACGCCAAGCCCTTTGGCACCATCGTCATCATCATCCTCATCTGGGCGCTCATCACCTTCCCCCTCCTCGTGGCTGGCGGCATTGCCGGCAAGAAGAGCAACGCAGAGTTCCAGGCGCCCTGCCGGACGACCAAGTACCCCAGAGAGATTCCGGTGCTGCCCTGGTACCGCCACACCGTGCCTCAGATGGCCATGGCTGGGTTTCTCCCGTTCAGCGCGATTTACATCGAGCTGTACTACATCTTTGCGAGCGTGTGGGGGCACAAGGTGTACACGATCTACAGCATCCTCTTTATAGTGTTCATCATTCTCATCATTGTGACGGCGTTCATCACGATTGCCCTCACGTACTTCCAGCTCGCGGTTGAGGACCACGAGTGGTGGTGGAGGTATGATCCGCACCTATCTTTAATCCTCTAGTCATTCTCAGCCTTTCCACCTCCCTTGTCTTTGAGGTTAATGTTTTGTAGCTCTTCTGTGCTCTTCTTCTTATGCTGCTTCTACTATGACTGATCATGATCCCATTCTCCCCCTTTCTCTTTCCCTCTCCCTTCTCCCTCTCCCCTCAACCAACCAGGTCTGTGCTGTGCGGTGGCTCCACGGCGCTCTTCATTTTCGGTTACTGCTTCTACTACTACTATGCTCGCTCCGACATGACCGGCTTCATGCAGACGTCCTTCTGACGACTTTGGCTTCATGGCCTGCGTCTGCTACGGCTTCTTCCTCATGCTCGGCACTGTGGGCTTCCGCGCCTCACTGTCGTTCGTGCGCCACATCTACCGCTCCATCAAGTGCGAGTAAGTGCTTTTCAGGGAAGAAGGGATGGGGGAGGAGGAGAGCAGGGACTTTCGCATCTCGCTGTCTTTTGTGCGCCACATCTACCGCTCGATCGAATTCTCAGGGGAAGAGGGAAGGGAGCTTCGGAGGGAGGGAAGGGTGAGGAAGAGAGCTGTGGCAATTCACCTCGATGCCCTTCGTGCGCCACATTTACCACTCGATCAAGTGCGAGCAAGGGGAGGGAGCAGCAGGGAGAGCGGAGGGAGAAGGGCAGGACTGTGGGTGGTTGAGGGATGATTGGGGTGGTGTGTTTTGGGGAGAATAGGGGCTCCTCTTTTTGCGGTCCTCTGTGCCTCACATCCACCCATGTATCAAGTGCGAGGAGGTACGTTCCAGGAAGTATGTTCAAAGAAGTTTGTTTCAGGGAGAAGTGGGGCTGAGGGGAGAGGGAGAGAAGTGGGTGATTGAGGGTAGTCTGGGGGGGTTTGGGGAGGTTCTTAGAAACTCAGGGCTCTCAGGCTTTGCTGTTCTTGGTACGCCACATCTACTGCTCCTTCAGGTGCGAGTGAGTGTTCATATGTTAAGGAGGGGAATGAGGGGGCTGGGGTGGGCTGGAATGTATGGGGGAAAGCTGGGGCTTCTGGGACCCACTCTCCTTCGTGTGCCACATTTACCCCCCACCTCTTCCGCCCCCCTCCCCAAGCCTCCATCTTTCTGAGTTATGGCTCTTCCAGGGGTTGGGAGAGAGAAATGTAAGTGACCGTTGTGGGGGAGGTGGAAGATGGGGGGAGTAGTTACCTACCGAGAAGGGCAGTTTTGGGGTGGTTGGGAGAAGAGTGTTGGGAGTTGGGAGGTGGAAGTGGGGAGATGGACAGGGAGAGAAAGGGTTTGAGGTGTTTATTTTCTGAAGATTATTCTGATGTTTTCACTCACATTCGTACATGGTCGTCTCCCTTTCGTCCACCCACCCATTTCTGATGGTCCCTTGCAGCTGAATGGCCGAGGCCTTGGGAGGGAATGTGGGAATGCTGGCCTGAAAGAGAACGGTGATGCCAGATGCGATGTTAGCTTATCAATGCACTTGTGGCATGCATGGTTATGATGTTGTACTACACATTTTGGATGTTATTTGCTTAGAGATTAGAGCTAACGTTTAAGGCTAGTTTAGAGCAATCGTTTTACATTTTGTATTTCTAAACTTCATTTATCAGCAAACACCACCATAAGTAAGGCTAGATATACGGCAAGCTGGATGGGGTTTGCTGCTAACCTAACCGGCGTTTTTATTGCAATGCCAGTGTACTACGAATATGGAAATGGACGACTCGTCCCACTTCACCAACACCCGATACAAGACTGCGGGCATACGACTGGTGGGTAGTTTTCGGCAGATGTAATTCCCGTTATCAGCATATCCCCGTTTTTGCCATCGGTGGTCGCGTCAACTTCTAGGCCGAATGACAACCCCAAGGCGGAACAACAGGCAAATGCATTCCTCCTAGATTCTGCTGTCAGTCGTGTTAGTTATAGTCTCGCCTGATAGTCTTAGGAGCATTGTAGCAAACGGTTGATGGTTCACCTCCCAGAGTTCGCGCATCGTTGGTGTTTTTAGTTCAAATGCTGCTCTGCATTTCGTGGGAGTCGTGTTGTCTCATATTTTCGATACTCGTTTAGATAGTGACACCCGAAATGTCATGATGGCGCGCACGATGAACGAAGGACCCCCTAAATGCTCTGTTATTAGAGCGCGACGTTCACTTATAAGAAGTCGTAGTACGGTGCTTGCACCGCGGACGGAAGTACTGAGGCAGCAAACGAAGCCTAAGCGGTTCAAGCTACCCCACCAGCTGCCGAAGCGCAAAGATACGTTCTCCCGAAAGCTTTCGGCATTGTCGCGTCAACGCCGCAGGCGTGCTGAAGCTGGAGCTTCCGTTGTTGTCACTTCAGCGCCGTTGGCGTGGTATCTGTATAGTAGTTGTCGTGCTTTCAAATCAATCTAGAAGCACCACAAAGGAGGGTGTTGGGCTTCCTTCAGTCAATCATGGGAAGGATCATTCAGTTCGGCAAGCCCGGTAGCCTCCGGTGGCGTGCCATCACCGTGGATAAAGACGGAAGTGGCGTGTCCACGTGGCACCACGTCCCGCTATACGCCTCCCCAAGATGCCACGTCAGCGATCGGAACGACTTGGCAGCTTCGTATCTGTCGCCAGTTGCGGGTTACGCAGCCAACGTGGTAGAATGTAATTGGTCAGAGCCTTCCAGGGCGCCTTTGCTCCACATGGTGGTTACCACGCCACGTGGCTCATGGTTACGGGTGGAGCCTGCAGCTGACGAGGATTTCACTCCATTACGGATAGCTGCACGGGATGGCAGGCCGTCTCACTATTCTTATAACGCACCATACAACATCGGGTTTCTTCCTCAAACGTGGGTTCAAACCAGCAGCAGTGCAAGCAGCAGTTATGGCAGCAGCAGCAGTTTTGTCAGCAGCAGCAGCAGCAGTAGTAAGAACAAGAGCAGTGACCTTTTTAGGAGCAGCTTCGACGACAACAATGGGTTTGTTCGAGACTCTAATGATTCCTATTTCAGTAACATCACTAATCCTACCCACCCTGCCTTTGGTAACCCTGTTACTGGCAACGGAGTTTCGCCCTATCAAACCGCCCAGTCAGGAGCGCCCATGCAGGCAGTGGAAATCAGTGGAGCAGCAGCTCTCCCAGGGGATGTTCTTATAGTGAGGGTTCTTGGAGCGTTTGCTACAGTGACGGATACAGCTCCTGACGCAATCTCGTGGAAATTAGTGACTTGCGCAGTTTCAGAAGTTCATAATCAGCAGCCGCAGGCGGATCATGAATTGGGAGACATGGGGGAGCAGGGGCAATGGTTAAGGGTGTGTGGGGAGATTAAAGACGCACAGGAGTTAGAAGCTAAAGCGCCTGGCGTGGTGGATAGTGTGCGGAATTGGCTGCAGAGTTGCGATCAAATCCACCCTGGCGACTCTCCTGTTTCTTTCGAGCTGTCTGGGCAGCTTGCACCCCCGCGAACAGCTTTCAATGCTGCCCGGAATGCTGCCCAAGCGTGGGGTGTGATGACTGCGGATGGTCGGGCAGTCAGACCGGTCCACGTGGCGTTTTCTCGGGCAGGAGGGGTGCTCCCGACACACTGGGCAGACGTTGAAAAGATCTGGGAGGCGAGCTACCTGGAGAATCTCAGCTTAGCATCAATTCCTTTGAGCTGCCCGGAGAAAAGTTCGGGCGTCAGTGGCACTGCTGGTAGCAGAGGGACCACCACTGCAGATGCACCACTGCAGTCAACATCACCACTACCATCAGCATCAGCGCTACCACCATCAAGAAGATCATACCCTACCCTTGCCTCCTCTTCCCCTGACTCATCACGCCACCGCTTCAACCTTTCTCCACCCGCTTCCTCTTTCCACACAGCGGCATTCGTATCTGACCCCCCCATACCCCACAGCACCGCACAGAATACCCCTCGCACCCCCACCGCACGCCACAGCCACAAGCACCAGCTTATGGCCAAGCTCTTCGCCAAGCTGCCCAACACGCACTCCGGGCAGGAGAAAGAAAATACTCGGCACCGGCAGCAACAGCAGCAAGAAGCTTCTGCCCAGTTTCAGGAGAGCCGGTTCGTGTCGTTGCCTCAAGAAGGAAGCTTCCTCGCTTCTTCCCAGCCAACCAGCTCGAACCATATCCCCACCAGCAACCCCAGGCCATCACAGGTGTTCCCCCACCCACAGGGCTCACAGGGGGGCCGATCAAGGGGTGTAGGTGTAGCAGGGGATCAGAGGATACTGGTGGCCCCCAGTCAAGAAGGATTTACTGTTCCTGCTGCTGCGCCTTCTTCGCTGAATGTAGTTGGGCCTGCCCTTACGGCCGGAGAAACGGGTGGTAACCAGACTGCTGCTGGTAACCACAGTATGGTTACAGAAACGCCAAGCTCCGTGTTTCCCTTCCTGGGCTTTAATAGAGCCTCCCTCCACGCCCCTAAGTTCCTGCGACCCCCTAAACTTCTTTCGTTGTCGTTGATGCCTGGTGGTGGTAGTGCGGCTGGGAAGGAAGGGAGGGGCAAGGAGGAGGGCAGGGGAAATGATGAGGGAAGAGGTAAGGAGGGAAGAAGCGAGGAGGAGGAGGGGAAGGGGAAGGAGGAAGGGGTGAAGCAGAAACAGAAGGGGAAGGGGAAGAGAGTGGGGTTTGGTGCGGTGGGTTGCAGGGCCTCCTGCTGCTGCCCTATCGGGTATGTGGAGGGAGGAGGAAAGGTGGGAGGAGGAGGAGAGAGAGGAGGAGGAGGGAGAGGAGGAGGGTGGGAGAGGCGAGGAGAACAGGGGTAATAGTAGTATGGAGCTAGCAGCAAGAATAAAATCAGCTGCAGGCCCAGGAGAAACGACTTATCGAGCAGGGGATGCATCTATAAGGGGTACAGAAGCAGTGGCGGATCCTGCTGGGGCAGGTGAAGGCCTTCTGGCGCCAACAGTGGAAGATCCAGGATTGGGGGAGAGGTTTGAAGCGGGCAGGTTGAAAAAACAGATGGCTTGCGAGCTCGAAGCAGCTCTGGCGAAGCAGGAGATTATAATGAAGAAGCAGGAGATGCTTATAAAGGAGGGGAAGAAAAGGGAGGAGAGAGCGAGAAAGGAGAAGCAGAGGAGGGAGGAGAGGATGAAGAGGAGGGAGGAGCGGGTAGGTGGGAAGGATGGGGAGAGAGTGTGGAGGGAAGTGGAGAGGGAGGGGGGGAGAGAAGTGGAAAAGAGGGACGAGAGGGAGGGGGAGGGAGAGGGGGAGGGGGAGGGGGAGAAGGAGGGGGAGGCGGAGAGGGAGGGGCAGGGGGAGGGGGAGGAGGAGGAGGGCAATGGAGCTGCATCGGAGGAGAGAGAGGCACGTGCAAGACTTGATCCGGTGAAGTATGTCTCTTTTGAGAATTCTCAAAATCCGGTGAAGTGTGTCTTTGAGCCAGCGCCTGTAGGAGCACCTGTAGCAGCACGTGTAGCAGAGACTGTGTTAGTATCTGTCACAGATAGCGCAGCAGCACCTGTAACAGCACCTGTAACAGCACCTGTAACAGCACCTGTAACAGCACCTGCTACAGGGCATGATGTCGATATCTGGGCGCCTGCTGCATCAGAGCTTGCAAACGAATGGTTGGGAGCGTGCGAGGAGGATGTTGGCCTTGGAAGGGAATGCTCAGAAGAAGCGGAGCGATATCATGAGCATCAGCAGGCAGCATGTGAGGCTGCTGAGTTGCCTTGTACAAATACGGTGTCAGGAGCATCTGTAGCATCATCTGTACCAGAAGCAGAGGCAACAGAATTCGTAGCATCGACTGTAGCAGAAGCAAAGTCGGCAGCAGTTGTATCACCATCTGTCCCAGAAGGAGAGGCAGCAGAATCTGTAGCATCAACTGTAGTGTCACCTGTAGCAACAGTTGTAGCAGCAGGTGTAGCAGCAGATATAGCAGTAGATGCACCAGGGGCTATGGCATCAGATGTAGCAGTGCCTGTAGCAGCGCATGCAGCAGCAGCTGTAGCAGCGGATGTAGCAGGTCCTGTTACACCCGCAGCAGATGTAGCGGCAGCAGCCGCTACTGATGTGGCTGCTGCTGACGTGGCGGTTGCTGATAATAATGTGGCTGTCGCTGACCTGGCAGTTGTGGATGTGACTGTAGTTGATGTTGTTCAAGGAAAGGGCGCTGGGAAGAAGGGAAATCCTGCAGCAGTGACAAAAAGGAAGGGCGTGCTTAAAAAGGGGCGAAAGGGGAATAAGGAGGGCAACAAGGGCAGTTCAGTAGTGAAAGGGGGGTTGAAAGCAGGTAAAGGAGAGAAAGAGGGAAAAGGTGCCAGCAGCGATCAAACTGCCACCAATGCTACAGCAGCCGCAGCTACAGCCACCACTGCTACAGCCGCCGCAGCTACAGCCACAGTTACAGCCATCAGTGCTGGAGCCACCACCACCGAGAGTGAGCGTTTGCCTGTGTACGCCCCTCCCCCCAGCATTGCCCGTATCCAATCGCTGAGCGACAGCTGGCGTGCAAGCCACGAGGAGATGTTTTTCCAGCTGCTGTGCTCGCGGGGGGCGGCACTGCTGGGAGGGGGCAGAGGGATGGGGAGGGGTGCTGGAGGGATGGGGGGAGGGGCAGGGAGAGGGGGAGGAGGAAATAGGGAAGCGGGGAGTGGGGGAGTAGTAGTAGGAGGGCTACTGCCGCTGCTGGTGGAAGGGGCAGGGAGAGGGGGGGGAGCAGGGAGAAGGGGAGGGCTAAGGGTGGGGGGACTTGGAGGGAACGGGAGAGGGGAAGAGATGGGGGGAGGAGATGGGGGGCTGCTGCCCCAGATGCCAGGGTATGGGGGGACAGGAAGCGGAAGAGGGGAGGAGGAGGGAAGGGGGAGAAGAGTGAGAAAGGTAGATGAGAGTGAGAAGGAAGAGGGTGAGTGCGAGTGGGAAAGGGGGAATGATACGGAGAATGTATGTGGGAGTGAGAATGAAAAGGGGAATGAGAGTGGGAGTGGGAATGAAAGTGAGAGTGGGAATGGGAGTGACGGTTTTATGGTGCTGTCACCTCATTGGATGAGGCCTTCCCGCCAGCCAGTGTGTTACAGTGCATCATTGCGGCAGAAAAAGACGATCCCTCGCCGGCCACTGCTGCAGCTGCGAGCATCATGAGCAGTAATTCAGGCAGCATGAACAGTGATATGGAGGAGAGCATGATCAGTGCTGGAAGCACGAACAGTACTGGCAGCTTGATGGGGAAAGGGAAGGAGGTGGGGAAGGGGAAGGGGGAGGGGAAGGGGAAGGGGGTGGGACAGGCGAAGGGGGTGGAGCAGGCGAAGGGGGTTGGGAAGGGGAAGGGGGGTTTGAAAAAAAAGAAGCAGGTGAACACCAAGGAGAGAGATTCTGGTGCTGGTGGTTCTGGTGCTGATGATGATGTTGCTGGTTGTGCTGATGCTGCTGGTGGTGCTGATGCTGCTGCTGGTGCTGATAGTGCTGGTCGTGCTGTTGGTATTGGGTCTGATGGTGCTGCTGGTGGTGGAACTGCCAATGGTGATAGTGAGGCGGCTTATAGTGAGGTGGTTTATAGTGAGCCATCTGACTATAATTGCCTTCAAATACAGGCACTTAAAGACACAGAGGACGATACTGCAGCTTCTTCAAGGAAGAGGACTGTCTCCAAAAAGGGGACTGTTAATAGGGGGTATATGTTTACTCATGCCCCAATGGGTCTGGGAGGGCTTGGGATAGGGGGAAGGGCTGGTGTGAGAAGAGGAGTGAGTGTGACGGAATGTGATTATGAAGAGTGTGATTTTGAGTTGACTCAGGATTCACCTCGTCTCAATGTCACAAGGGTGAAACTGGAATCAGTGGGTGTGACTGAGTGTGGTTGGGAGGAGGGGGGTGTGGAAGGTCGCTGTGAGGCGGGGGAGGATAAGGACAAGCAGAAATATCCGGGAATGCTAATGCTAAGGAATCCCTCATCCGGGGAGGAGGAGGGCAAGCAGGCACCTACAGCACGCACATCCCAACTGCAGCCCCTTGTGCTGAAGGAGGTAGTTGTGGAGGGTTGCTGTGCGGTGGGGGAGGACAACGACAAGCAGAAACCCTCGGGAATACTAAGGGATATCTCAACCGGGGAGGAGCAGGGCAAGCAAACCACGCTGCCTCAGTCAAAGAGAGGGAAAGGGAAGGCTAAAAAGGTAAGTCCTGTTCCAAGCCCCTTGTTTTGGGGTCAACTTGGAGTCTCGGGTTTCAAGTTCTGAGGTTCGGGTTTCAAGTTCTGAGGTTCGGGTTTCAAGTTCTGAGGTTCGGGTTTCAAGTTCTGAGGTTCGGGTTTCAAGTTCTGAGGTTCGGGTTTCAAGTTCTGAGGTTCGGGTTTCAAGTTCTGAGGTTCGGGTTTCAAGTTCTGAGGTTCGGTTTTCAAGTTCTGAGGTTCGGGTTTCAAGTTCTGAGGTTCGGGTTTCAAAGTTCTGAGGTTCGGGTTTCAAGTTCTGAGGTTCGGGTTTCAAGTTCTGAGGTTCGGGTTTCAAGTTCTGAGGTTCGGGTTTCAAGTTCTGAGGTTCGGGTTTCAAGTTCTGAGGTTCGGGTTTCAAGTTCTGAGGTTCGGGTTTCAAGTTCTGAGGTTCGGGTTTCACCTTTCAGCTCTTGGATTTTGGGCTTTCAGTTTTTGCCTCGGGTCAAGTTTAGGGTTCCGGCTTCTGTGTCTCGAATGAGGTTTAAGGTTCTGGCTTTGAAGGCTCGGATCAGGTTTATGTTTTCTCTTCCTTACCTCGGTTCAGGTCTAGGGTTTTAGCTTCCACGTTTAATCTGTCCAGATCTTTCCTTCAACTGTGCCTTCTGTGTCCTCGATTGGTGTTCTGTTCCTTTCTCTCTTTCTTCTTTCTCCCAGCTTTGTCTGGTCTGGAAACATTTCAAATGCCCCCCCCTCCTCCCCCCTCCTGCCTCCCTCCTCTCTTTTTCCCCCTTATCCTCTTTTTTTTTTAATCTCCTCTTAATCTGGCCCCAATCCTAACTCCCTACTGACAGCAGGCGCCTCTACAGCTGGTAGTTTCCGAGGAAGCTTCCAACTTCTCCTCTTCGCACTTCCTCCTCCTCCTCCTCCTCCTCCTCCTCCTCCTCTCCTCCCTCCTCCTCCTCTCCTCCTCCTCCTCCTCCTCCTCCTCCTCCTCCTCCTCCTCCTCCTCCTCCTCGTCTTCTCGGCCCCCTCACCACTCTCCCGCTTCCTCACCTGCTGCTGGCTTGGCTGCTGTGGAGCGAACAGCAGGGGGGAGGCAGCACAGGCAGCAGCACAAGACTGGTGCTACCCAGAAAAAAACTGGGAAGCCAAAAACCGCTGCTCGTGGTGCTGGTGCTGATTCTGCTGATACTGGTGCTGCTTGTGGTACTGGTGGTGCTGTTGCTGCTGATACTGGTTCTTCAAGTGCCGCTGCTCTTTCTTCTGCAGACACTTCTGCTGGATCAGATGCATCTGCTGCTGCTGGTAGTGCAGAGCATGGCAGAAGTGGTGATCCCACCAGGTCTTGGAACGAATGCCATTCTCCTCGCCCCAACAGTGCTGCTATAATCTCCTTCTCCTCTCCTTCATCCTCCTCCTCTTCATCCTCCTCCTCTTCATCCTCCTCCTCTTCATCCTCCTCCTCTTCATCCTCCTCCTCTTCATCCTCCTCTTCATCCTCCTCTGTGTCATGCAGCAGCACCAGCAGCAGCACTGTCAGCAAAACCATGGGCAATATCGTCAGCAGAATTCCCACTCGCAGCAGCACTCCCACTCGCAGCAGCACCAGCAGCACTCCCAGCCGCAGCAGTGTGTTCAACATATTCATGGGAGCCCCAGAGGACCGGGCGTTCCTCTTTTCTGAAATGGCTGGAATGGGTGGAGTCAGAGGAGAGGAAGAGGAGAGGAGGACTGGTGTAGGGCAGAAGATCCGAGAGGAGGGGAAAGGAGAGCAGGGAAAATCAGAGGAGGGGGAAGGAGAGGAGGGGAAAGCAGAGGAGGGGAAAAGGGAGAAGGGGAAAGGAGAGGAGGGGAAAAGAGCGGAGGAAAAAGCGTCCATTTGCGTTGAAGATGAAGGAAAGGTGGAGAAAGGAGGGTGCTCTGACCATCCAAGCATAGAAGAAGTGAAGAGAAGGGCAGAGGAAGAAGCAGAGGAAGGGGCAGAGGAAGGTGCAGAGGAAGGTTCAGAGGAAGGTGCAGAGGAAGGTGCAGAGGAAGGTACAGAGGAAGGGGCAGAGGAAGGTGCAGAGGAAGGGGCAGAGGAAGGGGCAGAGGAAGGGGCAGAGGAAGGGGCAGAGGAAGAGGCAGAGGAAGAGGCAGTAGAATCTGGTACTCCACTAGAGGCTGATGCATTACAAGGCAATAAAGAGAAATTGGCCTCCGCCCTGCAACAGGTGGATACATTACAAGCTGGTGACGAGACCTTGGCTTTATCCCCGCTACAGCCAGATGCATTACAAGGTGGCAGAGAATCAAGAGCTTTGTCTCCGCTAAAGGCAGATGCGATACAAGGTCGTGCTAGGGAGAAAGGCATGAAGAGTCCACGCAAGCCTAAGAAGCAAAAAGGGAAGGCGAAGGAGAAAGGGAAGGAGAAGGTGAAGGAAAAAGAGAAAGTGATTGGGGTGAAGGCAGGTGTGAAGGGGAGGGCAAGTGCAGGGAAGGTGGATGCAGGAGGGAAAAGTGCAGCTACTGCTACAACCTCTGCCACAGCCGCTGCTATTTCCGGGCATGAAAGAGCACATGGAAAGGGCAGCAGCACAGCAGAAGAATCAGAAAAGAGCGACTCAACTAGTGAAGGCAGCAGAGCAGCAGGAGAATTGGAAGATGGGTTGGAAACAGGAGCAAGCGGAGGAACGTCAGCATCAGTTTTGAGAGCTCTAGAAAATGGCTCAAACACAGAAGGCAGTTGTCTCAGCAGCTTTCCTGCCGGAGATTCAGAAAATGGGCTGGAAGCAGGGGTAGGAAAAGGAGCAGCAGCAGGGACTAGCCAGAGGGGAGAGGTTGTGGGTGAATCAGCAGCAGCCGGGAATGATGAAGGGGAAGGAGCTGGGACCGTTGATCCCTCCCTCTTTCTCCCTCTCGAAAAATCCAGTGGTGTTGGTAATACTGAGGTTGGGGAGTCACTGGCAGCAGAGGAAGGTGTGGGGAAGCTGCGCACGAGCAGTAGTGAAGTGAGAGAGTTGGCCTGTGGACGGGGAGAGCAGCAGGGGGGGAGGCAGGTGCAGCAGCAGCAAGGGGAGGTGAGTTCTGAGTCGACTCACGAATCGTTGCTGACAGAGTTGGCCTATGGGCGGAGAGAGCAGCAGGGGGAGATGAGGGCGGGAGAGGGGTTAAGGGAGGCAGATACTGCAGCACAGCTGCAGCAGCAAGAGGGGATAAGGGAGGAGCAGCAAGAGGGGATAAGGGAGGAGCAGCAAGAGGAGGTCCAGATTTTTGCGGTGGAGGCAGGGAGGCAGGCAGATTCAGCTGCTGCCGCTGCTGCTGCTGCTGCTGCTGCTGCTGTTAATACTCTGGAGCCGGCTTCAGCTGCGGAATTTGCTGCTGATGCTGCTGGCTCTGCTAGTTCTGCTGCTGCTGCTGCTGCTGCTGCTGCTGCTGCTGCTGCTGCTGCTGCTGCTGCTGCTGCTGCTGCTGCTGACTTTACTGCTGCTGCTGCTGCTGAGGCAAACTCTGCTGCAAGTTCCGTTGCTGTAGCTTCAAAGCGCACAAGCACCCAGGTGCGGCAGCGGGCAGTGTCGTTCCACCCAGACGTGCTTGTCAAGACCTTTGCAGTGGAGGCGGGGCAGCTGAGACGCAAGGTGGTGCGGAAGAGGCGGCACCGGCAGCAACTGATCGATGTGCCTGTCGCTGTTGTTGCTGCTGCTGTTGCCGCTGCTGAAGCTGCCGCCGCTGCTGCTGCTGCTGTTATGCAGGAAGCAGCAGCACCAGCAGCAGGGGCAGCAGGAGCAGCAGCAGCAGCAGGAGCAGCAGCGGCTGAAATTGTGCCGGCACAGGGAGAGGGAGAGGGGGAGGGAGAGGCACAAGCAGCAATGCGGGGGGAAGCAGTGGGAGAGGCAGAGGCAACAACAGAGGGAGAAGCAGAGGGGCTAACAAGAGGAGGACAGGGAGGCGCAGAGTTCTTACATGGACATGCATGCACATCAGAATCAGCATCTGCTGCAGCAGCAGCAGCAACAGCAGCAGCAGCAGCAGCAACGACAGCATTGGGTGAAGCACAGGAGAGGGAGCAAGCAGGTGTCCCATCACCATCACCAGAGAGTTTCATGGTGTATCAAACAGCAGACGCCCTTCCACACGTTGTCCCACATGCAATGCCACACCCGGTACAGCTTGCCTGGATCCTACACCAGCTCCCCTTCTTTCAGACCCAGATGCAGACCCCTCCGTTACAGTTACAGAGCCCTCATGGGTCTTCAGTCCCTCTCCAGGCTCCTCTTCAGGTGCCGTTTCTGCCACCGCCCCAGGTGCCACCTCAGGTGCCGTTTCAGGGTGCAGCAAGTAACACAGAGTGCTGTACCCAATATGCTTCGCCCGAGTTTCAATGTGTGTCAGCAGCAGCGCCAGGAGAAGCAGAGGGGGGTGGTTGGTCACAAAACGAGGGCTCTGGGTTGCCGCAAACAGTGGGCGATGGGGGAAGTGAAGGTGAGGGTGATGTGGCAAGAAGAGGAGAGGAGGGTGGTGGTGCTAGAGAAATGGAGGGAGGTGATTTGGATGGGACAGATGTGTTGGTGAATGGGCAGGAATGCCTACAGCAGCAACAATTGGAAGTGGTGGTGAAGAAAAGAGCCAAGGGAAAGCAGAACACGGCAAGTGGAAAAGGCATGATCAAGAAGAGTAAACAAGTGGTTAGCAAGGTGAAGTAAATACAAGCGTTGCAACTATTTTTATGTACATAATTCAATACCGTATTATCAGACTGTTTGCCTATGACCTAGTGCAGCTAATGTGGATTTCAATGCCACTAGAGTTTTTTGCTTACTCTCGCAAGTGTGTACAGACTGAGTTGCCAGATGTTGACTCACAGGTAGTTACCGAGCGGTGAGGGGCGGTCAGAAACCCTTAAATCAACATTAGGATTAAAATAACATTGTACACCCATCGACGTTACATCGTTCCACGGAGGTGTGTTGCCTCCTGTAACGGGCATCACAGATACTGACGTGGCGCCTGTCCCCAATGACGCCAATCACTGGTGATGCCCCGTCAGCCAGCACACCTGCGATGCGTCCAGGCTCTCAGTCAGGCGCTGATTTGCTCCGCAAGGAGCCAATAATCGAGCTCCACGAGCGCATGGACTGATGGATGGGAGCAGCAGGGCCCCCAACTTGGTGTTTCTCGTCTGCCCGTTCGTGGAAGCATTACCATATTGGAAAACTAAGCTAAGTATGCTTCTAAGCCATTCACTGTCGATCGGTATCCTCATCGACACTGACTCACGCAATCAGACGCAGGGCAGCTTGCGCGCCAACAAGCATGCGTCTTCAACAAGCATCCGAAATCAAAACTAGCCAATCACTTATCAGCGCGCTATGGAAACAACTTGTCGTAACCACCTCGAGATTGGTTCCCTTTGCTCTGCCCAGCCTAACCCCCCTAGTTGAAGATGTTCCAACATCGCCTCGGAAACCCTTTGTTACCATTTTCAATGTCTTAGCAACCGCAAGATTGAAGCGTGAAAGTACTGGAGGCATGGAATATCTCTCTCAGAATGTCTCAACCAAACGGGGTCCGAGACAGTGTCAAAGCCTGAACTAGAGGTCTTACACGGTACATTAATGCTCAGCTCTGTTGAAGAACGGTTAAATTCGGTGCAGGGCGTTGAAGGTCCGAGTCGAGGAATAATTCCCAGGATGTTCCGTGAAGCAGTCCATTGCGGCCTGTATTTTATTCCTCAGTTGAGGAGCAGCTATTTCATCCCTGCTACTGGCTAGCTCTAGGAGCAGGTTAGTGCGATATTCTGTTTATTTCTTTTATTCGTTTCCGTTCTATCGCTGCTAGCTCCAACCCAGCAGGGTCCAGCAGGGTTGCCGTCTCGACGAGTCCGCTCTTAGCAGTGTGGACTAATGGAAACGGTGGATTAATTCAGGACGCTACCTCGTTTACGTCGGTGTCTGCTCGGCAAGTAGCGTCACGGCATTGGAGCCTCTACTCGACGCGCGCTCGTAGCACAACTGACCTTGAAACTGCTTAGAATCTAGTATTCTCGTCCCCCGCCGTTTCTGTTAAAACACGCAACGATTCTCGCAGTCGTATTTTCAAAACAAGCAGCGTGTCTCATCAGCAATGGCGGGTGCTGGGGGTATCACGCTGGCGTTTCGATGGCTGGAGGACGTGGCGTCCCCGTTTTTCTTCACCCTGATACTAGCGTGGATGCTGTACACCGTCATGCACACTGTATTCACGTTTAAAAACAGCGAGATGACTATAACGAGGAAAATCGAAGAGAAGGGAGAAGGAGAGGGGGAGGACGAGGAGGAGGAAGAGGAGGAGGGATGGAATCAGGTAGAGATGCACGAGGCAGAAGACGACAAACCGAGCGAGCTCGGAAACGACAACGCTTGTGACGCACATGGTGACACTAGCGATGATGATATTGTCGAGGTGCCTCCTGCTGCTCCTCCCGTCTCCAGAGAAAGCCTAGACCCGTCGCAAGGAGACTCACCTGTTGCTCCAGTCCCGTTAAAAGACGCACTTAATGACGCACTTAGTGACGCTTTACCCTGTGTCGCGGAGGCTTCAGCCTTTTCTCCCGTTCGCGTTCCCGATTCTTCATCCACCGCTGCCTCCACGACTGCTTCAACCGCCGCCGACACTTCCGCCGCTCCCGCCCCGTCCGCCGCTTCCACCGCGTCCGCCGCTTCCGCTCCGCTTCCCACTTCCGCCCCCTCCGCTTCTTCCGCCCCTTCCGCCGCTCCTGCGCCTTCCGCTCCTCGGGAGCCGGAGGAGGGCAGCGGGGAGGACGGCGAGAGCGACGACGACTGGGAGGGCATAGAGGCGTCAGAGGCGGAGGATCGATTCTCGGCGGCGGCAGCTTTAGTGACGACCATGGCGGCTACTGGAAACCTGAGGATTGGAGAGGGGCTGCAGCTGCTTCTGTACGCGCTGTACAAGCAGGCGAGCGACGGGCCGTGCGATGCTAAACAGCCCGCCGTGTACAACTTCAAAGCGCGGGCAAAATGGTGAGTGAGTGAGCATTCTTCCCCTCACACGCGGGCTGCAAACTGCTGCAGCTGCTGCTGTACAAGCAGTCCAGCAACGGATCGTGCGACACCAAACAGCCTGCTGTTCATAGCTTCAAGGCGCGAGCCAAATGGTGAGTGAGCTTCCGTCCCCCCCTTACATTCTGCTTTCTTTGGTAAAAAAGCAAATACAAAACAAAGACTATGGAAAATCGAGTCAGTGTATTGACTGACCGAGCAATGACAGGCAGTCTGATTTTTTTAAGGATTCGACGCTGGGCGAAAGCATGGCGTCTAGCCATTCTTCTTTCTTCCTTTTTGAAGGGCTAAGCAGTCAGGTATTGGTGCGGCAGCAGCGACTGCGGTAGCGGTTTCACGAAGTTGCCATGTGTCTATATTCGTTACTGTTGTCCCTCTGCTCGTTACAGGGACGCTTGGAAGAAGCTGGGGAGCATGAGTCAGGAGGAGGCCATGGCGCAGTACGTGGGGCTGGTGGAGCAGATGATTCCCAACCCCAATGAGGTGAGACTGAGAGGCATGGACAGGCGATGAGGCGACTGGCATGTGGGTGGGTGGGTGGGTATCATGTATGTATAGGACTAGTGCGTTGGAGCATGTTTCAAGTCAGGGGTCAGGACTTGGTAATGGCGCAGTACGTGGCGCTGGTGGAGCAGATGATTCCCAACCCCAATGAGGTGAGCTGTGTATGTGGGTGGGGGTGTGTGTATGGGGATGACTAGTGCGCTGGAGCATGTCTCAAGTCAGGGGTCAGGACGTTGTAATGGCGCAGTACGTGGCGCTGGTGGAGCAGAGCAGATGATTCCCAACCCCAATGAGGTGAGCATGAGAGGCATGTGGATGAGACATGAGTCAGGAGGCGTGAGTCATCAGTGCAGTACGTTGCATGAGTCAGGACGGTGCGATGGGTGCAGTGCAGTATGTTGCATGAGTCAGGACGATGCGATGGGTGCAGTGCGGTATGTGGGCCTGGTGGAGCAGATGATTCCGAATGCAGGTGATGGTGAGCTGTATGTATGTTTGTGGGTTAGGGTGTGTGTGTGTGTGTGCATGATTGCAACGAGATTTAGCGAATCACTTTTGCGAGTTATGAAGAGAGAACCTATGAAGAGAGAACCCCAGGCGAGGTGAGCTGTATATACGTGGGTGTGTGTGTGTGTGTTTGTGTGTGTGTGTGTGTGTCTGTGTGTGTGTGTGTGTGTGTGTGTGTGTGTGTGTGTGTGTGTGTGTGTGTATTATTGCAACGTGACGTAACAGGAGGCAATGGCATGGTGAGAAGGGCAGCGGGAGTGGGCAGCGGCAGCGGGAGTGGGCAGGGCATGTGAGATTTATTTGTTTACCCGCCCTCCACTTTACCCGCCCTGCACCTCACCCCTTATGCATCCAATTGTATTTTGAGTCGACTCAAAATACACCTGGACAAGCCTCCACCTCACCCCTTATGCATCCAATTCAAAGTTTCCGAAGCTCACTTTACTCATCCAATCCCTTTTTCAATCGTCTTGCTCTCAGGGATCGAAGGGCGGAGAAGGGGGAGGGGGAGGGGGAGGCGCAGGAGGAGGGGGAGGGGGAGGGGCAGGGAGGGGTGTGAGTACTATGCTGATGGCAGAAGGAGGGGAGGAGAGCGAGGTGGGGAGTGTGGGGGAGGGGGGGGAAGGGGGAGAGGGTGGAGTAGCAGCAGCGGACGCTAGTGGTTGTGGCTTTGGGTGAGTTTTTGAGACGTTTCAAAAATACACTCTTTACACGTGAGACGTCTCAAAAGTAGCAGCAGCGGACGCTAGTGGTTCTGGCTTTGGGTGAGTGTTTTTGCGCTTTCCACTGTTGCTTCCTCATCCACTCTTCCTCCCTTCCCCTCATCCTATCTTGCTCCCTCTCTCGCCCTTCCTCTCGTTCCCTATCGTTCGTCGCGCTCAATCTCCTTCGCACTTCCTTTCCACTACTTCCCCTCCCCCCCTTCCTTCCCCCCTCCCCTTCCTTCTTCCCTCCCCTTCCTTCCCCCCTCCCCTTCCTTCCCCCCTCCCCTTCCTTCCCCCCACCCCTTCCTTCCCCCCTCCCCTTCCTTCCCCCCTCCCCTTCCTTCCCCCCTCCCCTTCCTTCCCCCCTCCTCCTGCATGTTCCCAGCTGTGGCCTTTCCTGTTGCCTCCCTCTTCAATGCTCCCCCACCCCCCATACCCCCTCCCCTCCCCCATCCCCATTCCCCATTTCCAATCCCCCATCCCCATTCCCCATTTCCAATCCCCCATCCCCATTCCCCATTTCCAATCCCCCATCCCCATTCCCCATTTCCAATCCCCCATCCCCATTCCCCATTTCCAATCCCCCATCCCCCCTCCCCCCTCCGCCCTCCCCCCTCCCATTTCCCGCTCCCTCCTTTCCCAACCTTCCATAACTGGCTTCTCTCCAGTCGCCTGCATGCGCTTGCTAGTGCTGACGTGGAGGACACGTCAGCAATGGAGGAATGGATAAAGCAGCACCCCGAGGCTCTGGAACAGAGAGGTGGGATGCGGTGTAGAATGGTGGCATTCAGTCAGTCAGGGTGGTGGAATGTGGTGCAGCACGGTGTGTGTTGGTTGTGGGCTGTGGGGGAATGGCACAGGAGTGTATCTGAGAGTGACTGTGTGTGTGCAGATTTCTGTGTTACTGGAACTACTCTTTCCCCCACTTAAAACTTCGTGCGCATTTTGCCTCAATCACTTCTGTTTTGTATCATAATGCTGCGAATTTCATGCAATTTTGAAGTCTCATTTCTGTGTTTCTATCTCACTACCAGACGACGAAGGCCGGACGGCGCTGCACTGGGCAGCAGACAGAGGCAAGCTAGCCGTGATTCGGTGCCTGCTGGCTCATGGCGCTGATGTGAACCAAACTGTAAGACCCTGGGTCCATTTTTGAGTCGACCCAAAAATAGGCTCTCTTCCTCCACTCCTTTCTCCTCCCACTCTGCCTTGACAGACTTCCTTTCCAGCTTCCTGTCCCCTTATCAAATTTAATCCAGTTTTCCACTCTCCCTCCCCCACTTCCGCCCTCACCAACCCAACCAGGGCGGTGAGGGTCAGATTCCCTTGCAATTATGTTTTTTTGAGAATTCTCAAAAAACTTACACTCCAGGGCGGTGAGGGTCGGATTTCCTTGCAATTATGTTTTTTTGAGAATTCTCAAAAAACTTACACTCCAGGGCGATGAGGGTCGGATTCCCTTGCAATTATGTTTTTTTTTAGAATTCTCAAAAAACTTACACTCCAGGGGGATGAGGGTCGGATTCCCTTGCAATTATGTTTTTTTGAGAATTCTCAAAAAACTTACACTCCAGGGCGATGAGGGTCGGATTCCCTTGCAATTATGTTTTTTTTTTTAGAATTCTCAAAAAACTTACACTCCAGGGTGGTGAGGGTCGGATTCCCTTGCACTTCCCGTGCGTGCGTGCGTGCGAGCGCAAAAGAATCTCCAAGTTTTGCCCTCGTTTTGCTTCTCTTTCCTCCCCTTCTCCTTTCTCTGTATCCTCCACACCAATTTCATCAGAAGATGAGGGTCACACTCCCTTGCACTATGCTACAGTGTGTGAGCACGAATCAGCTGTCTTTCTTCTCCCCTTCTCTCCTTTCACTCCCTTCCCTCCGCCCGCCTCCCACTCCCATCCAACCAGGACGATGAGGGTCAGACTCCCTTGCACTATGCTACAGTGTGCGAGCACGAATCAATTGCAGATCTTCTTCTTGAGAATGGTGCCGATCCATGCCGCCCGGACAACGAGGGCACGTGCCCCAAGGACATCCGCCCGGCCTCCTGGTCTGCCCCGGCTTGGACCGGGTCCGGCTGAGGTTCGGAAAACAGCTTCATTCAGGCTCGGAGCAGGTTGGGAGCACGCCTGGGTTGGTTGGAGGTTGGGTGGATGCGGGACAGTTTAAGGAAAGAAAGACAGGACAAAAATGGCTGTGTTTTGTAAATACTTAGCAGCCGAACAGCCATCTGGGTGAACTGCAGCAGGTACGGCTCTTGGTAGGGGCGGAGGATGGATGGTAGTTTGATCACAAACTGTCGGTTAGAATGTGGCTTGTTGCAACAATATACTCGTGTTAGTAAGGAAGGATGTCAATAGAACAAGACTGGTAGGTTACTTCAGTTTTTGGGGTTTAGACATGTATAAAAGCCGCCGCCCGTGGGGCTCGAACCCACGACCACAAGGTTAAGAGCCTTGCGCTCTACCGACTGAGCTAGGGCGGCTGATTCGAAGCTGTAAAAAAACATTTCAACTAATAAATGTTTTGGGACGAACTCGTTTCCCTTGTAATTCCAAGCACTTACTATCCGCCATGGCAGCATCTCTCTTCGTCGCTCTGCTCCTCGCCAGCGCCACTTTCGGCCAGCAGCGACTCGTGGCGGCCAAACCCAACATCGCCGCATCCCAAGGTGACCTACCGCATCTTATCAGCATCGCTACTATTTGGTGTATCTCCGCATCCGCTGCATTGCCCAGATCTTGCTGGCGTTGCCTAATGTTTGGCGGCATTGCCTGATTATTGCCGGCATTGCCTATTTTCTGCCGGCATCACCTATTTTTTTTTCCCGCATTGCCTTGTCTCTGTTACCATTACGTAACCTTCGCGCGGCACTGCATGCCTCTGCTCGTCTCCTGCTCGCAATGCGGCTGATCTCGCTGGGCGGCATGGGCGCGACCCAACGTGTCCCTTTTCATTCTTCATCCGGCGGCGTCGGTGCCTTTTGAGTCGACTCAAAAGTCATCTCCTTTCCTTTCCAACGCCCCGAATCAACTTTTGAGATTTCTCAAAAAGTGAATTTCATTCGGCGGCATCGGGTGTCTGCCTTCTCCTTTCCTTTCCAACGCCCCGAATTTCTTCCGCCTACTGCTTCCCCTTCTCATCTCCCCCCCTTCAGTTTCAATCTAGTTTTGAGGCGCCTCAAAACTCGACTTTCTTCCGCCTACTACTGCTTCCCTTCGCACCTCCCCCCCTTCAGTTTCAATCTCAGACCCCCTTGTTTTATCGACTTCCCGCTTCCCCTCCCACCGTCGCACTTAGCCGACGGGCTGGCAGCGCTGCAGATGGCGTGGGGCGAGCTGGAGCCATCGTGGGCCGTTGGATCGGACTGCAGCAAGGCCTTGGGATTGTCGTGCGATGATCAAGGCCGGATCGTCACCATGTGAGTGCGATGCCCACCAGTAAATGTCGACTCAAAGATGATGGACTCATGAGTGCGATGCCCCCAGTAAATTTACTGATAAAAATGCTCTCGTGAGTAACTGGGCTGGTGGTAACTAGTGAGTTTCCGGATTGAGACATACGCTCCCACGCGTGAGTCCCTCCCAGGCCCCCTGTTGTAAACTTGCATTGCATATGTCTCATTAGGACGTGGGGCTCCTGGAATACGAACCAGGAGCTCATATGCAATGAATATATAATGATTATGTAATGAATATGTAATGATTATGTAATGAATATGTAATGATTATGTAATGATGAATATGCTCTGCCATGGTATGAAATGATCCCGCCAACCAGGGCATGATATGTCTCACAATGGGTGACGTGGCACACAAACACTGACTCACATGCATGTTGATGCCGTGTTATGCTCCCCCTCTTCCCCTCCCGCTGTGCTGACGTCAGCAACATGCCAGCTGGCAACATTTCCGGGTATCTTCCCGAGGGGATCAGTGCACTGAAGAGCCTGCAGCAGATGTGAGTGGTGGTGTCGTTCGTGTGCGGTGCTGTGTGGTGTGTGGTGGTACGCTGTGGTGTTGTGCCGTGCTCTGCGATGTGCTGTGGTCAGGTGCGGTGTGGTGTGGTGTGTGGTGGTGGGTGGGTGTTATATGATGTGGAGAATGGTGTGTGTGGTATTTGTGCTACTGATAAGCATGAGATGATGCAATACAAGCAACTGGGCTGTTTCACCCCTGCACACCCATGCCCACCCCTGCCCACCCATGCCCATCCCTGTCTGTGCAGATCCCTGCCCAGCAACCAGCTCTTCAACTCCCACCATGTGGTGTTTCTTAATATGAGTGTCCACCCCTGCCCACCCCTGCCCACCCCTGCCCACCCATGGCCACCCCTTCCCACCCTTGCCTATCCCTGTCTGTGCAGATCCCTTCCCAGCAACCAGCTCTTCAGCTCCCTCCCCCTCGCCGTATCGTTGCTCACCAACCTCACCGCCATGTACGCATGCCATTGCGCACGTATGCATGCATGCATGCATGCATGCATGCATGCATGCATGCATGCACACCACATGCATAAGTGTATGCATGCCATGCCATGCACACCACATGCATAAGTGTATGCATGCCATACACCCTCCCCTCGCTGTATCGTTGCTCACCAACCTCACTTCCATGTATGCATGCCATGCCGTGCACAGCAAATGCATGCACATGCATCTACGCCGTTGCACGCGTGTGTGTGTGTGTGTGTGTGTGTGTGTTTTTTTTTTCTTTCTTTCTTTCTTTCTTTCTTTTCTCTCTCTCTCTCTCTCTCTCTCTCTCTCTCTCTCTCTCTCTCTCTCTCTCTCTCTCTCTCTCTCTCTCTCTCTCTCTCTCTCTCTCTCTCTCTCCATAAAAAAACAGCTTCATAGTTCAGTTCAGCTTCAGTTCAACTTACTTCAGACTCTATTGTAAAAAGTTTCGTGTGTCACCCATCCACCAAACACTCACGCTCTATGATTCCTCCTGCTGTTCCCCTGTGCCATCTCATCCCCGTTAGTGAGCTATCCAATAATAACATAACGGGTGCCATCCCTCCAGCTTGGTTCCAGCTAAGAGGTCTCGATATTTTGTAAGCACACACCACACAACGTATTTATCTTTTGACATTCAGTTTTTCTTCCCTTCCGTTAACTGTGTAATCCTCCTATTCAAATCTCATTCTCATTGTTCCTTCTGTTTCTGTTTCCCTTCCTCCACCTCCCCTTGCATTGCAACCCCTCTCCCCTTCAAACCCATCCCCTCCCTTTGCAATCCTCTCCCCCATTCCCTCCACCCCCTCCCCTTCCCATTGCGCCTGCCTCCCCTCCCCCCTTAAAACACCAGAAACCTGGCTTCCAACCGCCTCACCTCTCTGAATTTTCCCCTCTTCCACCCGCTTCCACCCCCTTCCACCCTCTTCCACCCCCTTCCACCCCCTTCCACCCCCTTCCACCCCCTCGCGCCCCCTTTGCACCCACCTCTTTTTGAGTCGACTCAAAAGCAGACTCTTTTTCCCCTGTACACCAGAGACCTCTCTCGCAACCGCCTCACCTCCTCTCTCCCAGATGCCTTCGACTCCCTTGCACCTCTGCAGCTGCTGTAAGCCCTGCCCTGCCCTGCCTTGCTGCTGCCCCGTCTTCCCGTTCGCCCCATCTTGCCACACCTTCCCTTCCGCCCCGCCCTTCCTTTGCCCCCTTCGTCCCACACCCCCCTTTACCCGCCATCTTCTCACGCACCCTCCCACCATCCATTGCAGATTCTTCCGAGTCGACTCAAAAGGTGACTTTTGAGTCAACTCAAAAGTCACTTCCTTTGCCCCCTTCGTTTCCCCCCCCCTTAACCCGCCATCTTCTCACGCACCCTCCCACCATCCATTGCCGATTCTTCCAGTATCCCACCCAACCCACAAGAGTACTTGTCTTTTTCCTCCCTCCCACCAAACAGCAATCTATCATCCAACGGCTTTTCAGGGCCTCTCCCACCATCCCTCGGCGATCTGAACCTTCTCGAGAAGCTGTACGTGTGTCTGATCTGCTGTGCGCTCCTAAACCAGCTGTGCACTCCCACACCAGCTGTGCACTCCCACACCAGCTGTGCACTCCCACACCAGCTGTGCTCTCCCACACCAGCTGTGCACTCCTAAACCAGCTGTGCACTCCCACACCAGCTGTGCACTCCCACACCAGCTGTGCACTCCCACACCAGCTGTGCACTCCCACACCAGCTGTGCACTCCCACACCAGCTGTGCACTCCCACACCAGCTGTGCACTCCCACACCAGCTGTGCACTCCCACACCAGCTGTGCACTCCTAAACCAGCTGTGCACTCCCACACCAGCTGTGCACTCCCACACCAGCTGTGCACTCCCACACCAGCTGTGCACTCCCACACCAGCTGTGCACTCCCACACCAGCTGTGCACTCCCACACCAGCTGTGCACTCCCACACCAGCTGTGCACTCCCACACCAGCTGTGCACTCCCACACCAGCTGTGCACTCCCACACCAGCTGTGCACTCCTAAACCAGCTGTGCACTCCCACATCAGCTGTGCACTCCCACACAAGCTGTGCACTCCCACACCAGCTGTGCACTCCCACACCAGCTGTGCACTCCCACACCAGCTGTGCACTCCCACACCAGCTGTGCACTCCCACACCAGCTGTGCACTCCCACACCAGCTGTGCACTCCCACACCAGCTGTGCACTCCCACACCAGCTGTGCACTCCCACACCAGCTGTGCACTCCCACACCAGCTGTGCACTCCCACACCAGCTGTGCACTCCTAAACCAGCTGTGCACTCCCACATCAGCTGTGCACTCCCACACAAGCTGTGCACTCCCACACCAGCTGTGCACTCCCACACCAGCTGTGCACTCCCACACCAGCTGTGCACTCCCACACCAGCTGTGCACTCCCACACCAGCTGTGCACTCCCACACCAGCTGTGCACTCCCACACCAGCTGTGCACTCCCACACCAGCTGTGCACTCCCACACCAGCTGTGCACTCCCACACCAGCTGTGCACTCCCACACCAGCTGTGCACTCCCACACCAGCTGTGCACTCCCACACCAGCTGTGCACTCCCACACCAGCTGTGCACTCCCACACCAGCTGTGCACTCCCCCACCAGCTATATTGGAGTTGTGACTTTTGAGAATTCTCAAAAGTCACTCCTACACCAGCTGTGCACTCCTCAACTTTCTCACAATTCAGCACCCTTCCACCATCCCTCGGCAATCTGAACCTTCTCGAGAAGCTGTACGTCTGATGTGATGTGATGTGATGTGATGTGATGCGATGCGATGCGATGCGATGTGATGTGATGTGATGTGATGTGATGTGATGTGATGTGATGTGATGTGATGTGATGTGATGTGATGTGATGTGATGTGATGTGACGTGATGTGATGTGATGTGATGTGATGTGATGTGATGTGAGGTGAGGTGACGTGACGTGACGTGACGTGATGTGATGCGATGCGGTGCGAATCGATGCGATGGGATGTGATGTGATGCGATGCGATGCGATGCGATGCGATGCGATGCGATGCGATGTGATGTGATGTGATGTTTGATCTGATGTGATCTGATGTGATCTGATCTGATCTGATCTGTTTTTGCAGCCCAAAATCTCTTTCTGTGAGCAATCTTCCCTCATATAGGCCATATGAGCAAACACCATATTGGTTTCCCTACACCCACTCCTTGCCCTCTTCCCTCTTGCCCTCCCCAGGGATCTCCATTCCAATCCTTTCTCCGGCACCCTCCCAGCCTTTCTAGCCCAGCTCTCCTCCCTCACTCTCCTCGACATATCAGCGACTGGCCTCCTCTGCCCTTTTGGGGAAGGCACCTGCCCCAGTCACTCCGTCTCCATGTCTTCTCTCTACTGCGATATGTGTGCCTCCTACTGCCGCTACTGCAACGACCCGAGTGAGTGGTTTGAGGGGTGGGGGTTGTTGCAGCGATAGAAACAGTATATAAGGCACATCAGATACACCTGCTGCACCTTGGAAGGCACCTGCCCCAGTCACTCCGTCCCTACGTCCTCCCTCTACTGCGATATGTGCGCCTCCTTCTGCCGCTACTGCATCGACCCCAGTGAGTGGTTTGGGGGAAAAAGGGAGTGCTTTGGGGAAAAAGGGTTTTAGGTGCTTTGAGTGCTTGAGGTACTTAAGTCTTCCTTCCTCACAAGGCACCTGCCCCAGTTTTACCGTCCCTACGTCCTCCCTCTACTGTGTTATGTGTGCCTCCTAATGTCGCTACTGCATCGACCACAGTGAGTGATGTGAGGGGTGGGGGGTGGGGGTGTATTGATTGTTAAAAGGGGACCTGCCCCAGTTATACCGTCCGCATGTCTTCTCTCTACTGTGACGCGTGTGCCTCTCTCTGCCGCTACTGCAACGACTGCGGTGAGTGTTGTGAGAAAAGTAGGGAGCTTAGGGGGAAAGGAGTCGCGTTGGATCAAATAGTCAGAGTCATTCCTCCTACCCACTCATTTGCCCCCCCCTCCCTTTCTTTCCCACTCATTTTTCCTCTCCCCTCCCGTCTCTTATCGCTTCCAGGTATCGATCACACCCCCCCTGCGCCAACACCAGCACCAGCACCATCCACAGGCACCCCACCAAACTCCCCCACAACTGGGGGGTCCCCTCCACCATCCCCGCTACCATCCCCAGCATCATCCCCTGCACCACCAGCACCACCACCACTTCCTAATCCCGCTCCCCAGTCACCAGCTCCCCCTGCTGCCACCCCGCCTTCCACGTCCCCTCCCAGCCCCCCTCCTCCCTCTCGCTCGGCCTTTTCGGCCCTTTTCCTCTCTCCTCCTGCTCTTTTGTTCCGCCTTCTCCTCCTGGTTGCAGCGGTGCTGCTGCCTGTTTCTCTGTTGTGATTAGAATGAAACGGAAGGCACCCCCACCCCACCCACCCCTCCTTTGTTGTATGATTAGAAGGCGCCTTGAAATCCTTAAATTCCCATTCGCCCCATCAGGTTAGGTGTGCCAAACCTACGTGCTGTACCATGTCGATCCATCATAGAAAATTCTTTGTTTATAAGCCGTATCGAACCGTACTTGACAATAATACTGCCTAATTCATTATGTTTCTTTGTCGTGCATACAGTGAGAGCAATAGTTATTGCCGAGCTTGCGAACACCGGTATCATATTAGAATCTATCCACTCAAAGGAAGTGTACTACATAGAGTGGCCAATTGACTCCTCACGCTACCTCCGCCTGCAGCTGTACTTGTTACAGCTTATTCTTCTGCTCTGTGGGTTACCACTCAACTGCTAGAAGCGTGGGGTTACCACTCAACTGCTAGAAGCGTGGGGTTACCACTCAACTGGTAACCGCACTCGACATCTCATCATCTGCAGCAGCATACCCTACCTCCCCTCCACCTCCCGCCTTTACCACCCCGGGCGGCACAGCACCATCCACCCCAAGACCGGGCGGCACAGCACCATCCACCCCAAAACCGGGCGGCACATCACCGGGCGGCAAGCTCCTGGCATTGATCCAGGCGATGATATCCACAACCACCCTGGCGACAACGTCGTCCGGTTCGCCGCATGCGAGGGCGTGCCAGAAGCACCCCTTGTACATCTCGATCTCAGCTGGTAACCGTACTCGACATCTCATCACCTGCAGCAGCATCCCCCACCTCCCCTCCACCACCACCCTCCTTAACCACCCCGGGCGGCACAGCACCGTCCACCACACCACCGGGAGGCGCAGCACCAGGCGGCAGGCTCCTGGCATTTAGCCAGGCGATAATATCCCCAACCACCCTGGCGATGACGTCGTCAGGCTCGCCGCATGTGAGGGCGTGCCAGCACCCCTCGTAGATTTTGATCTCCTTGTCGGCACTCCCTGAGCGGATAAAGAGCTCCTGGCTGGCTGCTGGATCAGTTACCATGTCCTTTGCTCCGTGCAGGATGAGCAGAGGGACTGTGACCTGGAGGAGAAATGGGGTGTGGTGTGGGGTGGAATGCGGTGGAGTGAGGTGGAGTGGGGTGGAGTACGCAATTCCAGGTTCGCCGCATGTGGGGGCGTGCCAGCACCCCTCGTAGATTTTGATCTCCTTGTCGGCACTCCCTGAGCGGATAAAGAGCTCCTGGCTGGCTGCTGGATCAGTTACCATGTCCTTTGCGCCGTGCAGGATGAGTAGGGGGACAGTCACCTGGAGGCAGGGATGGAGTGCAGTGAGGTGGGGTGAGGTGGGGTGAGGTGGGGTGAGGTGGGGTGAGGTGGGGTGAGGTGCGGTGAGGTGGGGTGAGGTGGGGTGATGTGGTAGAGAGCTTGCACCCCATCAGCTCCTGGCTGGCTGCTGGGTCCGTGACCATGTCCTTGGCTCCGTGCAGAATCAGGAGGGGAACAATGACCTGGGAACGAGGGATAAAGTGGGGTGCAGTGCGGTGAAGTGACCAGGAGGGTGACAGTGACCTGGAGGGGAGAGGTGGGAGATGGGCATGGAAATGGGCTATCAACCACACGGCACAGCAGCACTTGTGTTTGCACATGACTTTTGAGGCGCCTCAAAACACGGGCCGTACCAAGGCATGCACGTGTTTGCACATGCATGCGCTGCTTTTGAGTCGACTCAAAAGCAGTCGACTCAAAAGCAGTCGACTCAAAAGCTTGCGCATGACTTTTGAGGCGCCTCAAAACACGGGCCGTACCAAGGCATGCACATGTGTTTGCACATGCATGCGCTGCTTTTGAGTCGACTCAAAAGCAGTCGACTCAAAAGCAGTCGACTCAAAAGCTTGCGCATGACTTTTGAGGCGCCTCAAAACACGGGCCGTACCAAGGCAAGCACATGTGTTTGCACATGCATGCGCTGCTTTTGAGTCGACTTAAAAGCAGTTGACTCAAAAGCTTGCGCATGACTTTTGAGGCGCCTCAAAACACGGGCCGTACCAAGGCATGCACATGTGTTCGCACATGCATGCATACACGCATGCATGCACACATGCACCCCTCTCTCTCACCTCTTCCATGTGTGTGCCAATGTCTTGGGTGGTTCGAAGCAGCTGAAGAGCCGTGCCAATGCGAGGCTTGTCCTGATATGCAAAGGGATGCTTCTCTGCTCTCTCCCTTTTCTCTGGAACCTGCCCAGACGTGCACACATACAGGAACACAAACAGGCATGCACATACACACACCAACACAAACAGGCGTGCACACACACAGCAACACAAGCATGCGTGTATGTGTTGCTGTGTGCACACACACAGCAACACATGATCATGCATGAAACCGTGGAATGAATGAACTAGACAGGCTTAAGGGCAGCAGCAGGCATGAATGAATGATAGCATGTGAAACATCACATCACCCTGATTTAGACGCTAAAATTCACCTGCAGCTGTTACTCAGAAAAATATGGGAGAATTCCTGCAACAAGATGCTCACTCATTCACCTGAAAATGGTTTACGTTGCATTCACCTGAAAGCAGTTGTCAGGGTTGGCGCTGACAGGAACCAGTTTCCAGGTGGGGAAGATGAATGAGAGGCATTTGAGCACGAAGATGACTGGTGCAGGGGGTGTCATTTCTTGAGATATCTGGGAGGGAGGGAGAGTAGCAGATGTGGGGGAGGGAAGAGGAGGAAATGGGGAAGATGCACGAGAGGCATTTGAGAAGGAAGATGACTGGTGCTGGGGGGATTAGCTCTTGCGCCATCTGAGAGGGAGGGGTGAGTGGAGGGTGAGAGAATGGAAGCAGTGCAGAAGAGGCAGGGGAGAATGAGGATGACAGGAGGCAGCGGGCTGACAGGCACCAGCTGCTTTTGAGTCGACTCAAAGGTCACCTTGAGAATGAGGATGACAGGACCCAGCGGGCTGACAAGCACCAGCTTCCAGGTGGGGAGGTGACTTTTGAGTCGACTCAAAAGTCACCTCGAGAATGAGGATGACAGGACCCAGCGGGCTGACAGGCACCAGCTTCCAGGTGGGGAATATGTACGAGAGGCATTTGAGAAGGAAGGTTACTGGTGCTGGGGGGATTAGCTCTTGCGCCATCTGGGAGGGAAAGGAGGGGAAGTTGCGGGAAAGAGAGAAACGGAAAAATCATACATGAGAGGTATGTGAGAATGAAGATGACTGGTGCAAAGGGGTTAGCTCTTGAGAGGAATGAGGGAGGGGGGAGGGAGGTGGGGTGGGGTGAAAGGGAGAAAAGGGGGGGAGAAGATAGAGAGGTTACCTGCACCGATCGTAACCCAACTACACCACACTGCACACACCGAGTAAGTTAGTTGCACTGCCCTTGCACATGGGCGCCGGTTTTTTGAGAATTCTCAAAAAACACATGCCTTGCACATGGGCGCCACCAGCACTTAGCTCCAAGGGGAGGGGTTCCGCCTTCCCATAGAGCACAACACAGTCCTTCAACACCAACCTGCACCACTCAGAACTGCGCTACAACACCGCACTGTACTGCCATTGCACATGGGCGCCACCAGCACTGCTCCGCTCCAAGGGGTGGGGTCCCTTTGTGACACTTGAATCGCCATCGCCCCTCCAGACCATGACCTCCACACACAGAACAACCACTCTGCACCACTTATGATCCCAATACATGGCACAGCACACACTGAGTTGCACTGACCTTGCATATGGGCGCCACCAGCACTGCTCCGTTCCAAGGGGTGGGGTCCCTCCTCGCCACTTACATCGCCATCGCCCCTCCCATGGACTCGTACACACAATCGAACTCTTCTACACCACTTATTATCCCGCTACAAACAGCACAGCACACCCTAGTACTGACCTTGCACATGGGTGCAACCAGCACTGCTCCGTTCCAAGGGGTGGGGTCCCGCCGCGACACTTGAATCGCCATCGCCCCTCCCAAGGACTCCCCATAGAGGAAAAACGGCAGATTGGCGAATCTAGGGCTTGCTGTGGGGAAGGGGAGGGGATGTTGGGGAACGGGAAGTGAGGAAGGAGGGAGTGTGATTTGAGTCGACACAGAACACTTGAATCGCCATCGCCCTCCCATAGACTCCCCATAGAGGAGAAACGGCAGATGGGCGAATCTAGGGCTTGCTGTGGGGAAGGGGAGGTGGAGAAGTGAGGAGGGAAAAAGGAAGGTGTGTTTTGAGGGTAAGCATGGATTAAGCACGGATTAGGAGGAGGTTGTTTTAAACAAAGGGAGGTGTGACAGTGTGTTTTGAGGGTAAGCATGGATCAAGCACGGATTAGGAGGAGGAGGACAACCCGTGACCCTTGCTGTCCCCATCTCCCATCCCAAAGCCCATGTTCAGTCCGACAAGACCCTTCGTTCCCTCCTCCCAACACCGCACTCAACTCCTCTGCATTGCATACCTCTCAACCGGTTGGCAAACTCAATAACATCGTCTGCCAGGCGAGTGAAGCTGCGGATGTATCCGTGACGACCGGCTGACAGCCCGTGGCCTTCGTAGTCCACTCCCACTAGTGCGTAGCCTGCTGCTGCCAGCATCACCGCCACATCTGGTGAGAACAGTCACAGGGAGAAGAGGGCGCGGGGGACAGAGGGGAGGGTGGATGGAGGAGTGATAGGGAGGGGTGTAAATGGAAGAGCGGACCCGTGGCGACCGGCTGACAGCCCTTGTCCCTCGTAGTCCACTCCCACTAGTGCGTAGCCTGCTGCTGCCAGCATCACCGCCACATCTGGTGGGAACAGTCACAGGGAGAAGCGGGCGCGGGGGACAGAGGGGAGGGTGGATGGAGGAGTGATAGGGAGGGGTGTAAATGGAAGAGCGGACCCGTGGCGACCGGCTGACAGCCCTTGTCCCTCGTAGTCCACTCCCACTAGTGCGTAGCCTGCTGCTGCCAGCATCACCGCCACATCTGGTGGGAACAGTCACAGGGAGAAGCGGGCGCGGGGGACAGAGGGGAGGGTTGATGGAGGAGTGATAGGGAGGGGTGTAAATGGAAGAGCGGACCCGTGGCGACCGCTGACAGCCCTTGTCCCTCGTAGTCCACTCCCACTAGTGCGTAGCCTGCTGCTGCCAGCATCATTGCCACGTCTGATGGGAGGAGAAGAGGGACAGGAGAAAGTGAGGAGAAGGGGACAGAGGGATTGTGTACCCGTGGTGACCGGCTGACAGCCCTTGCCCCTCGTAGTCCACTCCCACTAGGGTGTAGCCTGCTGCTGCCAGCATCACCGCCATGTCTGGTGGGAACAGTGAGAGGGAGAGGGAGGAGGGGATCATCTCCGTCTCATAGAAAAACACCACCACCGTCCTCAGCAGGTTGCCATGAGATGTATGGCCGTTGCCATACCCACACCTCGACTGCCATACAGTCATGCCTAATGGACATTCATTTCCACATTCATTTTCATCGGACTCTTACCTTCAATCAAACATGTACGTGCACGCCTCCCCGTACCCATGGCAGAACAGCACCACGCCAATAAGAGGCTTACCATGCCCCACCAATCCGCACCCACGCCCACCCACCCACCCCCATACACAACCTATCTTCAAACACGTACGTGCACGCCTCCCCGTACCCATGGCAGAACAGTACCACACCCTGTGTAAAAAAAGTGTATTTTTGAGACGTCTCAAAAAGACACTTTTAACACGTCACCCCTCAACCACTTTCTGCCGCGACTTTGCTCATCCCACACCACACCATGCCCAGTATGGCCATGCCCATGTTCATACCCATGCCCATTTCCCCATCCACACTCCTCTGACTCTTACCTTCGAAGATGTAAGTGCATGTCTCCCCGTACCCATGGCAGAACAGCACCACGCCCCTCAGCCGCCCATCACTGGGCAGCCACTCTTTTGTGAAGAGCTCGACGCCCCGTGAGTTGATGAAATACTCTTCAGCTGAAGCCACACCATGCGATGCCTGAGGAGGAAAAGGAGTTATTTTGGGTAGGGACAACAAAGGCTATTCCTTGGTGAACAGCACCACGCCCCTCAGTTGCCCGTCACTGGGCAGCCACTCCACTCCTTGGTGAACAGCTCAACACCCCGTGAGTTGATAAAATACTCTTCAGACGACGCCACGCCTTGTGCGGCCTGGGGGAGGGAAGGGTAGGGGCATGAAAAGGGCAACAGAACAGAACAGCATCACGCCTATCAGCCGCCCCTCACTGGGCAGCCACTCCTTGGTGAAGAGCTCCACTCAGCTCCGCGTGAGTTGATAGGATATTTCTCAGCCCATGCCACACCATGGGCAGCCTGGGGGAGGGGCGGGGCGGGGCAGGGAGGCGATGAGATAGAGGCAATGTACTTGGAGTCCACGTGATAAAAGTGACATTTTGAGACGTCTCCGCGGACAATGTTCTCAAAACGTACTTGGAGTCCACGACAAAATGCGACAAAAATAAGAATCAACAGAAGGTCCACTTAAGGTGAGTAGCTCTCCACCGCAAGCGAGTTCGCCATGTGTCGTCGCCTGAGAGAGGGACAGGGGACCAGCGATACGGGCCTTGTTGCGTGTGATTTTTGAGAATTCTCAAAAATCACCAGCGATACGGGCCTTGTTGCGTTGCGTCAATGACGCAACGGCATGAGACGGGAATGAGCACAGCTCCACCGCTCGCGGATTCACATGGTATTCTTGCGGGTAGATAGAAGACTTTTGACGCGCCTCAAATGCCAATGACGCGACGGAATGAGACGGGAATGAGCACAGCTCCACCCCCCGCGGATTCACGTAGTACTCTGAAACAAAAATCACGTTGTCTGTGAGGCCTCGAGACTCGAAGCGGCAGGGACGCGCGCTGGTCACTGGTCCTTCACACTGCAGCTCTTTTGAGAATTCTCAAAAGGTCCTTCACACTGCAGCTCTTCTTCATGACCAGAGACCCGGCAGGGACGCGCGCTGGGAGGGAGATGTATGAAACGCGATCCTCTCAGATCGAAAACGAGTATCGTCGGTTGCTTGATCTGTCTCGAGAAGAACTCACATAAAACGAAGGAGGCTTCTTGTGCGGCTGCCGTGCTTTCCGCCGACCAGTCTCCCATTCGAGACTCAAAGCCTTTCGCGGCCTGGTGAGCCGCTTAACTACGTAAAAGACGGCGCCTCCTAGAACGACGGCGGGAAACACGGGGCCCCACATGTTCTGTAGCTACTACAGCAAGTACTCTAATTCTAGAAGCTTGTTTCATGGAAGTTAGCGATAATGTGTGGTTTTTTTGGGTTGCGAAGCAACCTATTACAATCGTTATGTACAATTTTTTTTTCATCGTTATGAAAAAAAAATAGCGAATCGTGGCTAAGTGATTCAATGCTGTGTATTTGCCACGACAATTTAGCACGTGCCGTACCACATTCTTTCACATTTCCTAGGTAGTTCGCCTTGACTGGTAACCTATACTTTATCGATGAAACATAAACATGACTTGCCAAAATGATGTACCGTAACTGTGAATGCGTGACCGTTTATTCGGTAATGCATATGCCGGAATATATAATGTATAGATGAAGTATAATGATGATTGAGTGCAAAATGCATAAATATACATGCATATATGACTGTGGTGAATATACATGTGCTCTGTTTATTTCGGTATAGGTCCGGTGCAGTGAAATGAATGCATGGCATGATGGAAATGCGTGACAGTTAATTGACCCAGACCTTATGCTACCGCATCCCCTGCCTAGCATGGGGGGGAAGTCGATAGCATAGTTCCTGAATCATCCAACTGTTACATGAAACAACACAACCTGTGTAAACTAAAAAAATGATCAAAATCCATCAAATCCAGTTCAAGTGAACACACTCACTGAGTGGGCAAAGAACCTTCTCGGAAATGATAGCTTGACCATTTTTTTAAAATCCACAGATACGCATTGTTAATGCAATGGCAGGTGGATATGTATGAATATGCACACAGAGACACATACGCACACACGCACATACCGATATGCACACACAAAGACGAGTCACAATCAGAAAATGAACCTAAAAGAAATCTAACATAACAATGCAGTAGCATCAATCATTAACATTTCAAACAAAAATCAAACAAAATCCTTTTAATTTCCACATTAGCCTCCGAATGTTATAGCGAAGACCCTAGGAGGGAAACGGGGGGAAACATAGTGGGAAGGGAAAGGAACGGGGCAGAAGGGGCAGAAAAAAGGACGGAGGCAGAGACACATTAGAGAACTACGATACGACGGAATTACAGGATTTGAAACGTAGGCAGGTGGGGAAGAGAAGTACAAAGGAGAATAACGAATAAAAAAATACCAAATGTGATAATAACCGCATAGAGGAAACGCAATAATCTGGGCAAGGAAAGAAGAAAACATAAATGAGCTCGTATATAGTAGCGTTTTGATAGATACATAAACGAGCGAAAGAGTTTGACAGAGAGAGAGAGAGAGAGAGAGAGAGAGAGAGAGAGAGAGAGAGAGAGAGAGAGAGAGAGAGAGAGAGAGAGAGAGAGAGAGAGAGAGAGAGAGAGAGGGAGGGGAGGGGGGGGGAGAGAGAGAGAGAGAGAGAGAGAGAGAGAGAGAGAGAGAGAGAGAGAGAGAGAGAGAGAGAGATAGAGAGAGATCGACCTAGAAGCTCTACGAGAGCTCTCGCTCTCTCTCTCGCTCTCTCTCGCTCTCTCTCGCTCTCTCTCTCTCTCTCTCGAGCGAGAGAACGACTGAGAGAGGAATCGAATTTCCAACACTAGCTTGTGAATGGGCTGAACAGAGGACAGGTTTCAGGGAATGGGAGGAGGGAGAGACATACACGAGAGGAACGACAAGCAATGACAGCGATACAAAATAATGTACGGGGCCAAGCGAAAATAATCGGCGTAAGCGACGCTAGCACGACATATAGGAAGATAGGACAGTTCTAAACCGAGGATGAGAAAAACATGAAAGGAACTAAGCAAAAATGAGGAAGTAAAGATTCAACCAAGGAAATGAAATACGGATGAAGAACGGAAAAAAACGGATGCCTCATGAATGATAACACGAGGAAAAGCTGAAAACTTTACAAAGGGTCTTAAACATAAACTTAAACAACTCGCATCCCTTAGAAACGACTAACACAAAATTAAACAACTAGGATGCGAAATTACGAAATGTTAATCTACTAAGGAATGTTAGTCGTTTCGAAGGGATGTTAGTCTAGCTCATAATCAAGCAAGATCTACTTGATAGGTTAGGAACTTCTCACCTTGGGCTGATACGTGGTGCTTGACTGGAGAAAGGACAGAGAACCAAGCTAAGGAGCGAAGAAAAGGAGATGGAAAAACCCTAGGGTGTGGACAATTCGCCGAAATTATAATGTTCAGTAATAAATACCGTTCGAAATATACGTGGTGGTTTGTTCACAATGGTGAGAAAGTCAGTCGGGGAACGAAAGGTTTTAGGTTCGAAACCCGTGAGTGCCGTTTTCCCAGAAATTTACCTTAGTATGATGAACCTCTTACCAAATAGTATGATGAACCTATAGTGTTAACAAATATTATTGGTACAGTAAATATGTATTTTACGCAAAACGCTTCGCAACCCTAAGACGATTTAGTCGCCTCTTGTTTTTTTTCGTCTCGTCCCATTTCACACCACACCACAGTTAAATGCACACACATAAAAAACCCCATCGAGACACCCAGATCCTAAAAGCACATACATAATAAAGACCCCATCAAGACACCCAATCAAAACACCCAATCCATACACCCAACCGAGACACCCCAGACAGCCCTCCAATTTCCCCCCCCTACTCAGCTCACATCCGAGCATCCACCATGTAAGGGGCCTCCACCCAGAGAGCCCCACCCTCCATCTCGACATCGTCCTCCTCCCTGTCCACCAAATCCACGTTCAAACCCCCATGAAAGACGCCGCGCGAAGCAGAATAACACGGGCTTGTGCTCGCTGTAACGCCACCCCGATGAGCCCCTTCAAAGACCCCATCAGATAAGCCGAAAACGAATGGTCGTCCTCTCGACATGCCCCACGAGACGCCGCTAGCCCCAAGTGTGCATCCCCCTGTTGTCGAAGCCACCGTCGAAACCGACCACCTAGACACCCCCACGTCTCTACTATCAAAGGGGTGAACTGCACGCCGGGGTTGCGTGCAAGCAGGGGTGCGTAATCGCCCGTCTTGCGACGCTCCCACTCCCTCGCCGCCACTCCTATGGAACGCCCACACTGCCCTAGCAGCGAAGGAGACAGCGACAGAGGGTCAGCGACGCTAATCTCTAGAGCGTGAGCTTCCCCAGCCATTGGTCGCCGCACCGCTACATCGACCCGCTTCCCCGGCAGCACCGCGCCATCCTCCAGTGTCACCACCCTTCCTGACGCCTTAGCAATCCTCGCCACTGCAAACTTCACCTCATCATGCACTCGAGATGGACCGTGCTGGTGTTACATCTCAAGGCATGATGCGGGTCTGCTGGGTCATCATACGCTGTCCCAATCTCTAAAAGCCTCCACCACCTCCGGCCGCGGCGGCATAGTCCGGGCGAGATACATCGGCCGCGCTGAAACTGCGATGGCGAGGAGATGCGAAGCCATCTGGGGGTGGTCGAGCAAGGGGAGCCATGGCAATGGCGCCTGCAACTGTCGAAGCCGCTCCCGCAAGCGGGCCGCCTCCCAAACCTCATCCCCAATGGGTACGCCCACCACAGTGAGGCCCTCCTGTCAAACTATGCATATTGTGTTTGTGTAGGCTGCTAGTGGGGTAGCCCATATGGGGTACAACCCAATGTTAGGGTTAGCTTATGTACCCAACTCTTGATCAATGCATCATCCTTGTCTCTAGATTCTAACATGGTTTCAGAGCAGTAGGTCCGTAGGACCGTTTTTTTCGGGCCCACCTACCGCTACCCCACGCCTGTGCCTGTGCCTGTGACGTGCTGCGCTGCGCGCGCCGTCTGCCTGTAGCCTACTGCCTGCTGCCTACTGTGCCGTCTGCTGCTGCTACCGCGCAGACCTACGTCAAGCACGCTGCCTGCTACTGTCCCTCGCTGCTCGCGCCGCTCTGCTGCCTCTCACACACCGTCATCGCGGTGCACCGCCCCCGTCGAGCCGCGTGCAGCCCTGCCGAGCCGCGCGCAGCCCTATAGAGCCGCGCGCAGCCCCATAGAGCCGCGCGCAGCCCGGATCTGGCGGGCGCAGCCCCCGCCGAGCCGCGCGTGTCCCCGCCGAGCCGCGCGCAGCCCCGTCGAGCCGCGCGCAGCCCGTTTCCTGCTGCGCGCAGCCTATTCGAGCCGCGCGCGGCCCGTTTTTGGCTGCGCGCAGCCCTGTCGAGCCGCGCGCGGCCCTTTTTTCAGCTGCGCGCAGCCCCGCCGAGCCGCGCGCAGCCCGCTGCTGCCGCGCGCGACCCCCTTCGAGCCGCGCGCAGCCCCTGCCGAGCCGCGCGCGGCCTCCTGCTGCTGCGCGCAGCCCCTGCTGAGCTGCGCACGGCCTGCTGCTGCTGCGCGCGGCCTGCTTCTGCCTCCCGCAGCCCACGCACAGCCCACAGCAGCCGCGCGCGCTGCACTGCATAGCCTGCAGCTGCATCGGCCCCGACCTTCCACTGCTGCGGCCCCGCGCTGCAGCTCCCGGGGCCCCGACTTGCCGCTGATGCGGCCCCCACTCTGCGACTGCCGCTGAAGCGGCCCCACCCTGCAGTTGCTGCGGCCCTACTCTGCAGTCGCTGTTACGGCTCCACCGTCGCTGCAGTCGTGCGCCTACTCGGCCCTGCTCGCCCGGCGAGCACTTACTCTTCCAGCCTTTGGTGAGCACCTGCCTGCCTGCCTGCCTGCCGGCCTGCCTGCCAGCTGCCTGCCTGTCTGTCTGCTGGCCTGCCTGTTTGTCGGCCTGCCTGCCTGCCTGCTGGCCTGCCTGCCTGCCTGCCAGCCTGCCTGCCTGCCGGCCTGTCTGCCTGTCGGCTTGCCTGCCTACCTGCTGGCCTGCCTGCCCGCCTGTCAGTCTGCCTGCCTGCCTGCCGGCCTGTCTGCCTGTCAGCCTGCCTGCCTACCTGCCTGCCTGCCTGCCTGCCGCGCCTGCCCTGCCCGAGCTGCTGCTG